GTGCGTGAGCTCGCGCGAGCCCAGGAGGCCGTAGATGGACGAGAAGAGCACGAAGGTGTCGACGGGCGTCTTCAGGGACGCGGCGTGGAGGTGCAGCGAGCCGTCGACCTTGGGCTTGAGCACGTCCGCGAAGCGGTCCCAGGTCAGCGCCGGCGCGGCGCCGTCGTCGACGACGCCCGCGAGGTGCCAAACGCGGAGCTTCGTCGCCGGCGTCGGCTTGAGGGCCGCGCCGCGCGCGAGGAGCGCCTCGGCGCCGGACGCGAGCGACACGTCGGCCTGCTCGACGACGACGGTCGCGCCCGTGTCGCTCGCGAGCTTCGCGAGCTTCGCGGCGAGCTCCGGGCTCAGCGCGCGGCGCGACGCGAGGACGAGCGTCGCGGCCTTGCCGCCGGCGGCCGCGAGCTTCGCGGCCCACTCGACGCCGAGCCCCCCCGTGCCGCCGGAGACGACGTGCACGCCCGCGGCGACGTCCGCGTCGACGACGGGCCCGCCCTCGAGGAGCCGCGGCACGGGCAGGGGCGCGAGCCGGGGCGCCTTGCGCACGCGCTTGCGCCAGGCGGATTCGGCGCGCGACGCCGGCGGCGCCGCGCCGAGCTCCCGGAGGAGGAAGGCGGCGTCGCGCTCGCGGCTCGGCTCGCAGGGGCAGAGGTCGACGACGCGGAATCCGAGCTTGGGCATCTCGGCGGCCGCGGACCGGACCATGCCCCAGACGGCGCAGGACGCGAGCGCGGCGTCGGGCGCCGTCGCCTCGACGCCGTCGAGGGACGCGTCGTCCGCGGCGCCGCGCGTCGCGACGACGACGCGCGGCGCGTCGTCGCGCTCGTCGAGGGCCTGGAGGAGCGCGAGGAGCGTCTTGAGCGCGGCCTTGGTGGCGCCGGCGACGTCGTCGCCGAGCGCGGCGCCCGCGCCGAGCGCCGTGAGGCACACGACGCCCGCGACGTCCTCGCCGCTCTCCTCCAGCGCGCACGCGACGCGCGCCTTCTCCTGCTCGAGCGTCGCGCCCGCCGGGGCGGGGGGCAGGATGGCCGCGGTCGCGCCGGTCATCTTCGCGGCGAGTTCCTGGGCGACGCCCGTGCCGTCGTCGAGGAGGACCCAGAAGCCCTCGACGGCCGCCGCGGCCTCCGCGGCGAGGGGCGCGTCGACCCAGGTCACGCCGTAGACGTGGTCCGCGATGCCCGACGGGGGCTGGGCCGCCTGCTTGCGGCTCGCGCGCGCGGCCTTGCGCTCCTCGGCGAGCTTCGCGTCGCGCTTCTTGAGCGCGGCCTTGGCGACCTTGCCCGAGCCCGTCATGGGCAGGTCGGCCCGGGCCATGAACTCGATGGACGACGGCACCTTGAAGTCCGCGAGCTTGGCCGCGGCGTGGCGCCGGAGCGCCGCCGCCGTGAGGGACTCGTCCTGCTTGACGACGACGGCCTTGACGCGCTCGCCCATGGCGTCGTCGGGCATGCCGTAGACCGTCGCGAGCTCGACCCTGGGTGCCCGTCGAGCACGCGCTCGACCCCGACGCGGTAGACGTTCTCCGAGCACACGACGATCATGTCCGTGGCGCGGTCGAGGACCGTCAGGTAGCCGTCGCCGTCGACCTTGACGAGGTCGTCCGTGCGGAACCAGCCGTCGGCCGTGATGGCCTCGGCCGTCGCCTCGACGTCGTTGCCGCGGCCGGAGAAGAGCGTCGGGCCACGGATCCAGACCTCGCCGACGCCCTAGCGCGCCGCGGCGCCGAGGCGGTTCTTCTTGACGCTGTTCATGACGCCGACGCAGGTGGCCGCGCCGCAGCAGCACCGATCGAAGCTCGTCCAGCGGTAGTTGTACGTGAGCTCGCCCGGCTCGACGGACCGCAGGGCGCAGATGCCGTAGCGGTCGCGCGCGACGGCTCGAACATGTCGACCATGGAGAAGCCCATCGGGGGCGAGATCGACGCCATCGGCATCTCTCCGGGCTTCGGCGGCGTCGGCGAAAACACGCTGCGCGCCGAGCTGCCACATGCTTTGTGCTTGCCGCTCACAGCCGCTTCGGCGTCACTGCCGGCTTCGGCCAGCGCGTATGGGCTCGTTCTCGGCCGAAATCGCATCGTTTTGAGCGCGGCTTGGCTCTACGGGTTCGCACAAGACCCTGTCCGAATGCTGCAACGCGCAGTCTCATTGCGCGCGCTCGTCCGCGAGAACGAGGCGGTCGGATTTGCGTCTTTTTCGGCCTCAACTCGCCGCGATGCGCTCCCATTTTGCACGATCGACGATCAGGTGTGGGTTGAGGCGCTTCGGAGTCCACTAGTGGGGTCCCCTCGAGGTGCCAAACTTCTCTGACACCCCGGACGACGATTCCGACGGAGCTATCACTCGCTCGGGATTGTCGGTGAAACGCGACGCCGGCGACCAAGTGCTCGTTGGTCGATACGGTGCTCGCGAGGCGCGCCGACTGCTTCGCGGCGTTCGCACAGACGGGCAACGGCTCTCTGCAGCGTGGATTCCGCTGTGGGCACCGAGAACGCCTCTGTGACGTCTTCCGAGATCTCGGCGCCGCACAAGATCTCGACCACGGCTCGCAGCAACGATCCACGTCCTGCAACCCGTGACGGTCTCAGCGAATGCTTCGGTTGATGTGCCGACCCCGTGCGACCCGTTGATCACCTTCGTCGACGTCGTTTCCGCAGCGGACGGCGTGGCCAAATTGTCGCCCAGACCAGTAGCCGTCCAGCCACCGCCAGGACGACTCGCATCGGGTGATTTTGCTGACCGTGGCCAGCGCTGCGCGCCGCTTCTCGCCCGCGAAGGGGCCGTAAAACACTTAAACATCCCATCGCGCGCTTTTGAGCACCGGTGGCGACGGCTAGGGGTAGAGGCCCGCAGGACACGAGGCTGTGGTTCGCGGTCGCGGCGACAGGTTCAGTCCTGCGAGCCGTAGAGCGGTCGCAATCGGGCGAGTGTGTCCCGTGGAGGAAGCTGGAGCGCGCCCGAGCTCCATTCGCAGCGCCATCTCGTGCGCTGGGCGTCAAAGGCGTGCATGCGGATTTGCTGCCCTGCGAGTAGAAGCTGTGCTAGTGGCCGATGACGGGTGTCGCAGCAGCTGGAATCGTTCCGAGGCATTGGGCGACGTCCGACGTGCGTCTACAAACACTCGTGGAGCGTCTTCGCGGCGAAGTGTGCGCGCAGGCGAAGTCGTAGCGAATCTCGCGCCTGGCGCCGCCGAGCGGCTTTCCGCACCCCCGAACCCGTGCGACGTGCCCGACGTCGCGACGCTTCGTCAGAGGCACCGTCTAGGACCTCTTCGCGCGTCCTGAGCTTCCTGGAGCTGCCGCTGCCGCGGCGCCGGCGGGACCGCGCCGCAAGCACCGCCACAGGAGGAGTGCGTCGATTCCGACCGTTCGCGTGCGCCGCCCCCGACAGCGTTTCACGGACGGATTTTTGCGTCGGGCGGCCTCTCTATGACCATGCGAGGCTAGGCGCGGGGCAAGGGCTACAGGGTCGGCGGCCAGGCCGCGAACGACGCGCCAAGCCGAGCTCGCGGATCTAGGTCCAAATCAGCCCCAGATCCGCGAGGATTGGCCGGGGCTGAAGCGAGGGTGAGCGGCAAGCTTTGTGGAGAGCTGGCTTCAAACTCGGGGACGAGCACGTCAACTTGCAGCTTTAAAAGCCCACTAGCAGGCCTAGAGGTGGCCCATCGGCAGGCTGCCGTCGAACCGCGACAAGAAGCCGAGGACGTGGCCCACGGAATCGCGGTTGAGGGCGAGGCCATCCCGCGGGAGGAGGACGCGGCAGAGGAAGTGGCGGTGCGCGCGCGTGAAGCTCTCGTAGCCGCCGCCGTCTACGACCGCCTCGATGATCGCGTAGGCATCTGCGTTGGAGTTGTTGCGCAAATGACCATTGTCGATAACCGCGAGGTCGATATCCGCGCCCTTGCTTAGCAACAGCTTCACCATTTCCACGTTGTCGCAGTGGATCGCACACTCGAGCGGTGTCCCGGCCTCAGGCGGCCGGTCTCCAAGCATCCGCGCCTCGAGGTTAGCGCCGTGATCGAGCAGCGCGAGGACAATCGTCGTCGCCGCCTCCTCATTATACGCCGCTAGAAATGGACCGCTCACCGCTAGGTGCAGCGCAGTGCGACCCAGGACCCGCAGGTTCGGGTTCGCGCCGCGTCCTAGCCACAGCACACACCGCCGCGCGTCGAGCCGGTATGTGCAGTGGTAGACCTGCGTCCAGCCGTTTGGGTCGCGCGCATCGCCATTATGAAGCATGGCCAGCAGCGAGCAGCGACGCGGCTAAGACCCAAAGCTCGCGCGAAGCGTCCGGACGACTATAAGCTTCAATGACAGCACGGTGCTGTTATCAACAAAAATCTTCAAGATGCTGCGATTAGGCGTCGAGGCGAGGGGTTGCGATTAGGCGTGTGGAGCTAGGGCACGGTCTAGCGCGCCGCGGGGCCGACTGGGTTCTTCTAGGTAGCCGCTCGGCCGGCCGTCGGCGCGACGTACTCGACGGACGACGGCAGCTTGACGTCCGCGAGCCTGACCGCGGCGTGGAGCCGGAGCGCCGCCGCCGTGCGGGGCTCGCCCTGCTTGAGGACGACGGCCTTGACGCCCAGGGCGTCGTCGGACATGCCGTAGACCGTCGCGAGCTCGACCGCCGGGTGCCCGTCGAGCACGCGCTCGACCTCGACGCGGTAGACGTTCTCCGAGCACACGACGATCATGTCCGTGGCGCGGTCGATGACCGTCAGGTAGCCGTCGCCGTCGACCTTGGCGAGGTCGTCCGTGCGGAACCAGCCGTCGGCCGTGATGGCCTCGGCCGTCGCCTCGACGTCGTTGCCGCGGCCGGAGAAGAGCGTCGGGCCGCAGATCCAGACCTCGCCGACGCCGGCGGCGCCCGGCGCGACGTCGACGGCGTCCGCGTCGGCCTCGAGGGGCTTCTCCATGGTCGACACGTTCAGGCCGTCGCGCGCGCCGACGACGCGGACCTCGAGGAGAACCCGGACGTCGCGATGAGGTCGAGGGTCTAGGGCACGGTCTAGCGCGCCGCGGCGCCGACTGGGTTCTTCTTGACGCCGTCCATGACGCCGACGCAGTTGGCCGCGCCGCAGTAGCACCGCTCGAAGCTCGCCCAGCGGTAGTCGTACGTGAGCTCCTCGCCCGGCTTGATGGACCGCAGGGCGACGATGCCGTAGCGGTCCTGGCTCCCGCAGCGCCACTTCTCGAGGCGGCAGCTCGGGTCGCAGCTGTGGTTCGCCCAGCGGAACTCGTTGCCCTTGCGCGTCGCGTCGATGACGAGCCCCTTGGTCGCCGCGTCCGACGCCGCGAGCATGTAGTAGTGCTCGTCGCCGTTGGCGCGCGCCGTCGCGAGGCGCTCCTGAGCCTCTTCCTCGCTGATGAGCTCGCCGAGCGCCTCGACGACGAAGGCGCCCTCGGGGATGGGCTCGCGGGCGAAGAGGCCCCGGCCGCACCGGCCCGCCTTCTCGACGGAGACCTTGCTGCCGAGCCTGGCCGCGAAGCACCGGTTCTGGCACTTGTCGCCCATGGGGCAGGTCGCGGGGTCGCACTCGATCTCCATGTTCCGGTTGAGGCAGTCGCCGTCGCACTCGACGCCGATGCACTTCTCGCGGCGGAACCGCGCGTGCGCGTCGTCGTCGGACTCGCCCGGCGCGCGCACGAGCGGCGCGCGGCTCAGCTTCGGCGGCGCGCCCATGGGCCCGCGGGTCGAGGACCCTTTGCCCGTCCGCGGCGCCGTGCGGCCGCAGAGGATCGCGTCGACGCGCGCGTTCCACTCGACGGCCGTGATGCACTCGCAGACCGCGGCGCCGTCGCGCGAGCCCGAGCCGCGCGCCGCCTTGGCGGCGCGCTTCGCCGACGGCGCGGCGTGCATGCACGAGATCTTCGTGAACTTGGACGGCCGCGCCGCCGATCCGCCGCTCGCGCGGCCGCGCGACGGCGCGCGCGACGTCGTCGCGCGCGACGGCGCGGCGGGGGCCCGCGGCGCCTTCCCGGCCTCGGCCGCGGGCCGGCCGCGTAGCGGCCGCCGCAGCTGCGGCTCGGGCTGCGCGGGCGGCGCGGTGCCCGGCGGCGGCGGCGGCGACGCGCGCGACGGGTCGTAGCGCTCCTCGCGGCCCGTCTTCGGGTCCCGGAGCGCGAGCCGCCGGCCGAGGTGGAGCGCGATGACGACGTCGACGCCCTTGAAGAGCTCGCGGTGCGCGGCCGTGCCCGGCGCCGGCGCGAGGCCCGCGGGGATCGCGTGCGTCGCGAGCAGCTCGACCCTCGTCGTCTCGTAGACGCAGAACGGCCCGGCGTCGCCGCGCTGGTTTTCGATCCTGAGGTCCAGAGCCGGCTTGCCGAGGAGCCGCGACCGCCAGTACTGCGACGCCTCGCGGAACTCGACGCGCTTCTCCCCGTAGCAGATGGCCTCGAACCACTCGCGCTTGATCGGGAGCCGCACCTCGGGCACGAGCGTTGCCCGCGTCGCGGCGGCGGCGCGCGGCGCGGCGGCGGCGCGCGGCGCGGCGGCCGCGGGGAGCGCCGCGGCTCTCGCCGCGGACCGCGTGGCCCGCGGCGCGGCCCGCGGCGCCGGCGCCGGCGCGACGACGGCGCCGCCGCCCTGAGCGGGCGACGCGGCCCGCGGCGTAGGTCGCCGTGCGGCGGCAGCACAGCGCAGCAGGGGCGGCGACGCGGTCGGCGCCGCGGTCGACGACGCCTCCGCGCGGTCGCTGCTCCGGCTCCGGCTCCGATCGCGGTTCGCGGTGCTCTCGCCCGGCTCGACGATGACGTCGTCCTGGGCCATGTCGCGGGCCATCGCCGTCGCCGCGGGCCGAGGCGGGGACTCGGGCGCCGGCTGCGCGGGCGACGTGGGCAGCGCGACCGGCGGCGCGGCGTCGTCCGCGAGCGCGGGGGCGGCATCACCTCCTTCGCTGGTCGGCACGAGAAGGTTGCGGAACTTCTCGAGTCTCTCGTTCCACTTCCCCGTGTCCGATCCTAAATTCTTCGCGAGGTGCTCGAGGTGCTCAAGCAGCACGCGCCTTCCCTCGGGGAATGCGCTCGGCTCCAGCAGAAGCAGACGCTCTCTCAATTTAGTGCCGTCGTCGGTGAGCATAGACTTGCTCATGTATTTGAGACGTTCTTGCCGGTCCGACGGACTGCTCTCTTCCAAAATGCGCAAGCCGCGCCGCAGCATAGCGACATCCTGCGGCCGAGCCATAACATTCGGGCCGCCACGCCGTGAAGCTGCCCCGGCGCTGTGAGATATTGTTGAATGGCACGAGCACCCCTCTTGAACCGAGGCACGACTCCATCGAGCAAAAGACCCCCAAGGCGCGTCGTCGGCCCGCGCGCCCGCCCCGCGCGCCTCCTCCGCCGGTCCGTCGCCCCGCCGCGGCCCCGCGCCCCTCGGCTTCGCGTCGTCGCGCCGCGAGACGTCGCGCGCCGCGCCGCGGCTTCGCGAAATCCCACATTTTTTAGACACCCACCGCAGCTCGCACGCCGCAGCCCCGACGCTGCTCGTCGATGAACCTCGTCCTCTTCATGGCGGGCGTTCACAACCGCGAGCACGCGCACCCCTTCAACATCTACCAGGCGGACGGCTTCTCTGGGACGACCTGGGAAACCACGGACGTCGCCGGCGGCCCCACCGCGTTGCTCCAGTACAAGCCCAACGCCGCCGCGGGCGTGCTCTGGAGCGACGACGCGAACGACCGCGCCTACACGATCGGCATGCGCTACCACGACGTCGTCCACTACACGCCCGGCAGCTACGAGCACGAGCGCGCGATCCACCCGGTCACGGGCGAGGAGGTGTTTTACCCCCGGGGCCTCGGCGGCAAGTTCAACACGCACAACCCGTACCACCAGCAGTACCTGGACCCCGCGGGCAACTACGTCCTCGACATCACGGACGACATTTGGTACGACGGCGTGGGCCAGAACACGACCTACCATTCTTCGGTCATCGCGCGGAAGTTCATTGACATCAAGGTCAATTTGGGAAAGGACGGGAAGCGCGTCGCGTCGGACAACCTCCTGGGCTACCCCTACAAGCGCTGGCCGACGGCCGCCGCGGCGCCGGCCGGCTGGCCCGCGGCGTTCGTCCAGCCCGCCGGCGGCCGCGTCATGTCCCAGCGGGACGCCATCTACCACTTCTGCCGCCAGGGCGGCATCTGCGCGCACCCGCACTGCCGCACGCCGCTGAACTTCTACGCGCCCGCGGGCGACCCGAACTCCGCGGGCATCGGCCGCCGCAACATCAAGATCAACCACTACGGCATGGAGTCGCTCACGGCCGCCGACGACAACATCCTCGGCTGGGTGTGCCGCAAGCACAGCAAGAATTAAGGCTCTAGCCACTTACCCTCGCGGCGCGGGACGCGCTCGGCGCGAACGGCTCGTCGAAGAACTTCTCGACGGAATCGGCCGCCCAGCCGACGACCTCCTCGAGCGTCGGGTCGTTGCCGTATCGCGTCGCGTCGCCCGTCGTGCCGTAGACCTCGAGGTCCAACGCCGACGCGGGCTGGCCGCCGTCGACGGGCCGCGCGACCTCGATGACGGCCGCCCGCCACGCGACGTCGTCGGTCATCGTCGTCGGCCAGTAGAGCGACGGCACGTTGCCCGTGGGCATGCGGTCGGCGCCGTAGATGAAGGCGTTGGGCACCTGGTAGTCCCAGACGACCATGGCGTCCACGTCCAGGTTCGCGACGGCGACGCGGCTCCGCGGGTCCGTCGCGTTCCGCGAGTTCGCGAAGACGAAGTAGTCGCCCTCGCCAAAGTATTCCAGGCCGTGGTTCACGTGTCAGAACGAGTAATTCCGCGCCTCCGCGCCCTCGCGGCTCCCGTCGATGTTCCGCCCTCGACGGCTACCGCGCCGCCGTCGCCGAGCGACGGCGCGCCGCCGCGGAGCGCGAGGTTCTCGAGGCGGAGCGCGCCGCCCGAGGTCACCTCGAAGAGCCGCGTCGCTCCGCCCGCGAGGGCGACGGACGCGTTCGAGCCGCGCACGACGACGGACGTCGCCGCGACGCGCACGGCCTCGTCGAAGACGACGACCGCGCCGAGCGCGTAGACGGGCGAAGCGCCAAAGGGGTCGTCGTAGGCGAACGCGTTGCAGGTCCCGCAGCTCCGCGGGCACGCGGCGAGGAGCGCCGCCACGTCCTCGGCGTTCCAGTCCTCCGCCACGGACGCGTTCCAGTCCTCCGCCGCGTTCGCGCAGTCGTAGCCGACCCAGTCGCGGCACGCGTACGGATAGTCTACTCCGGGTCGTCGAAGCAGCCGACGTCCGTCGCGTTGCCGTAGGAAGCGTAGCCCGCGGCGTCGACGAGGCCCTGGAGGCGGCCGGACGACAGGACGGGCGTGTCGTCGCCCGTCGGCGCCGCCGACGGCGGCGGCGACGCCGTCGGCGCGACGGAGTGCGTCGGCGCGCGCGTGTACGTCGGCGCGGCGCTCGGCCTGAGCGGCTCTTCGTCGCAGGCGCTCTCGATGACGCGGCCGTCGGCGAGCAGCCAGTACTCCGTCCGCGCGAAGGGCGCCGCGCCGCCCTCGACGTCGACGAGGTCGAAGTCCCACGAGATCTCGCTGTCGTAGCTGCCGGGACGCACCTCGAAGGCGAAGCACGTCGGCGCGGACGCGACGCAGAGCGAGACCTCTTCGACGAGGCCGCTATCCAGCGTGCCCTCGGAGAATGTCTCGTTCGCCTGGAAGACCCATTCGGCCCCGTTCCAGCCGTCGCCCCACGAATCGCGCAGCGTCAGCGTGTAGCAGTCGCTCGCGCCGGCGCGCGCCGCGACGAGCGCCGCAGCGATGGCCGCGACGCGCAGGACTCTTGGGCACCGGTGCATGAATCACCGTCTGAAGTGTTCAGAGCGCAAACCGGCGCATCGGCGGGCAGCCCGCTTCATCATAAAATTCAGAACTGCACCATCAACCCTTATTAGCGGCCCTTTCCTTCGCGAGCCGCTCCTTCTCCTGGGCCGCCTTGACCTTGGCCGTCGGATAGGCGCCGCCCTCTGGCGGCAAGTCCAAAATGCCGAGGTCGTCGGGGAGCCGCGGCCGGGGCGCGCGCGCGACGGGCGCGGGCTTGTCCATGCCCTCCCACGCGAGCGGCCACTCGCGGTTGAAGAACGGGTAGTGGGGCGCGACGGCCTCGTGGAGCACGCGCTTCTTCACGGGCGGCGCGGCGTAAAAAAAGGTCGTCTCCGCGTGGCCGTAGTAGGCGCGGAGCCGCGCGACGTAGGACGAGAACGTCGAGAAGAACGTGCCCGTGAACGTGCGGCAGTTGGGCGCGGACGCGACGAGCTGCTCGACCATGCCCCGCGCGTTCGGGTCGTCCAGGTCCGCCAGCAGGTGTTCAAAGTCCGCGAGGTAGAAGACGCGGAAGCGGCGCTCGATGGGCGCGAACCAGGCCCGGTCGGCCTCGTCCGTGAGCACGAAGAGCACCTCGCGCGGCGCGACCCACTCGCTGAGCGTCGCGTTCCACTCGTCGGCGGAGATGCGCACGGACACGTACTGGAGCTCGCCGCGGCGGATGTGCGCCGCCGAGTAGGACCCGCCGGCGGCGAAGGCCGCGAGCGCGCGGCTCACGCGGCCGGCCGCGCAGACCTGGGCAGGAAAAGGGTGCGACATGCCCAACTTCAAAGGCTCCGATCTCGGTCGTTTTCCGCTCGTTTCGGCTGATTTTTGGACGAGCGATCATCTCTCGGAGCGCTCGCGAAGCGTGGGTGCTATTTCCGAAACGCGCGCGCGCGGAACACTCACGCTGAAGCGACGTTGAATCACTCTTGTGCTGCCCTGGCGCAGACGATGTCGTCGCGGTAGCGCGTCGCGTCGCGCGCGAAGCGCTTGTAGTACGCGTCCGTCGGACCGTCGTCGAAGAGGAAGAAGGTGTACCAGTGCGTGAAGACGCGGTAGCCGAAACTCGCGTTCGCCTCGAAGTGGACCCAGGCCGCGCCCGCGGCTTTCGCGTCGAGCGGCCGGAGCCGCCGCTTCTCCGTCGCGAACGTCGCCGCGTCCAAGGTCCGCCAGGGCGGGTCCGGCGCCGCGCAGGACCCGAAGAGCACGGCCTCGCGCATGGGCGCCCAGCGCGGCGTCGACGTCGCCGCGCGCCGCTCCCACTCGCGCAGGTCGCGCCGCGCCCGCGTGTCGCCGTCGTCGCCCGCGCGCCTCGCCGTCGCCGCGAGCGCGTCGACGGAGGCCGTCGCCGCGTTCGTCTCCCGGGAAAGGTCGAAGAGGCCCGCGGCCTCGCGGAGGAACGTCGGCGTGTCGACGACCCGCAACACCTTGCCCAGCGCGTCGAAGTTCAGGAACGCGTCGACGCCGTGGTGCGCGCGCCGGTTGCCCTCGTGCTGCACCTTGAGCAGGTAGAGCCGCTGCGCCGGCGGCATGACGAGCGTCCGCCCCGTCGCGTGCGCGAAGACGGCCACCGTCTCGAAGGCCATGCGGATGTTGTTCCAGCCGCCGTTGTCCGGCTCGAAGGTCACGTACTTTGCGGACCTGGGCAGGAAAAGGGTGATTCAAGTTCTCTTCAACATGAGTGTTCCGCGCGCGCGCGTTCCGAAAAAAGCATCTATGCTTCGAGACCGTTCCGAGAGATGATCGCTCGTCCAAAAATCAGCCGAAACGAGTGGAAAACGGCCGAGATCGGAGCCTTTGAAGTTGGGAATTTCGCTCTCTTTTCCTGCCCTGTTTCGGACGGGCCGTAGTCCGCGTAGGGGCTCACGCGCGGCTCGGGGTCCCTGGCCCAGTAGCGCATGCCCCGGAAGCCGCGCGAGCCCTCGAGCACGTCCGCGCAGGCGTCGACCGGTTGCGGTGGATTCTGCGGCGGAGTCCGCGGCGGCGCGGGGCGCCGCGCCGCCGGGGGACGCGGCGCCGCGGCGGCTCGGAGCGCCTCGAGCTCGGCGCGGGCGGCCTTGCCGCGCTCGCGCTCGTGCGCGAGGGCCGCGCCCGCGTCGCGCAGCTGCGCCTCGAGGCCGAGCGCCTTCTGCCGGAGCGCCGCCGCGCTCGCCTCCGTCGCCGCGCACGGCGCCGCCGGCGCCGCCGCGGCCGTCGCCACGGCCATGGCCTCCGCCTGCGCCGCGAGGATGGCCGCGTCGTCCTCGTGGCCCACGTAGCGCCGCACGGACCGCTCCGCCTCCGCCTCCGCCTGCGCCGCGGCGCGCTCCGTCGCGGCGACGCCGCCCTCGTGGCGCACGACGAGCGAGCCCATGGCGAGGAGCCACACGGCGACGACGAGGTGCAGCGGCTGCCAGCGCTGGCGGCGCTGCTTGCTGGCGCCCATGACGATCGCGCACGAGCGTGCGAGGCAGTCAACGAGCGTGCGAGGCAGTCAACGCTCGCGCACACGGTAGCCCTCGATCGCGTACGCCATCGTCGAGTGATTTTGCCCGCAGGAGAACTTGTTGACGTGCAACACTGACCTCGGCCCGCGCGATGGACAACAACATCGCAGCCCAGTAAGTAAAAGATGCGCTGGACGCCGCTCGTGGCGCTGCTGCCGGTGCTGGCCGCCAACGCACCGCACCCGAGCGCCGCGGAACTGGCGCGCGCGCGAGCCAGAAGGAGGCGGCTCAGCTACTTTGGGAAAGCCAGCGAGGGCTGCACGACGCTCCTGAAGGAGAAGAAGCTCGACTGGCTCCTCGAGCCGTTCACGTGCACGCATGCCGTCAAGACGTCGCCCGTCGCGCTCGTGCTCGGCACGGGCCTCGGCGACACGGGCACGCGGTCCGTCGCCAAGGCCGTCGACGCGCTCGGCGTGCCGACGTGCCACCGCTCGGGCGCGACGATCAAAGCGCTCAAGGCGTCGAACCGGCGCGACATGACGCCCTTCGCGTCGTCGGGGGCGTGGTTCGACACGCCCGTGGCGTCCGTCTGGCGCCGCGTCGCGTGCTCGTTCCCCAACTACAAGGTCGTGCACACGACGCGCGCCGGCGACCGCCCGCGTCTCTCGTCGACCGGGAACCACATAAAAGCGCGCCGTAGGGTACCACCGCGACTTCTCCACGCAGACGAACAGCCACGGCAAGAGCAAGTGCCGCGCGGAGACGACGGAGCACCTCCTCGTCGCGCGCTGCCTCGAGTACGGCACGACGTGCCCGACGCTCGCGGACGCGCTCGTCGCCTTCGACGGCGTCGCGGCGAGCCTCGACCGCTACGCGCCGCGGGACAAGGTCCACGTCATGAACATGTCGACGGGCTTCCGCCTCGTCCCCCTCGCGGCGTTCCTCGGCAAGCCCGTGCCGCGCGGCATGCGGGGCGTGCCGCAGAGCACGGAGTTCTTCTGCTCCGAGGCGCCCCCGGCGACGGCGGCGAGCCCCGCGCCGGCGCCGGCGCGCCGCCCCGTCGTCGGGAACGTGTCGCGCCTGCCCGCGGGCATCCGGACCGTCGCCGCGCCGGCGACGACGACGCGCGTCGTCACGCGGCACCGCCCCGGGAAGAAGAAGAAGAAGAAGCCCCACGTCTAGTCGCGTTATTTCCACTTCGTGTCCGCGCGCGGGATGCTCGAGTAGGTCGTGCGCATGTTCTCGGGCAGCGAGCACGGGCCGACGGAGATGGCGATCTTCTGGCCGTGCATGGACTGGCGCTCGTAGGCGGGCTGGGCCTTGCGCTCCTCGCGCTCCTCCTTGCGCCGCTTCTTCAGCCGCCGCTGCGTGTCCGCCTTGAGCTTCTCGTGGAGCGCGTGCTCGCCTGTGTGGAAATCAACCACTGGTTTGGGGGGTCCCCACCAAACTTCAGAACTCTCTATCTCAATCAAATCGAAGTCGATTCGGCTGATTTTTGGACGGATCGATTGCTCTCGTCGAGTTCTCGAAGCACGGCAGAAAGCTTTGCGTCGAAACGGTCGCATACGCGCAAATTGAAGTCGGGTTGAAGATTTGATTTCCACACAGGTGCTCGCGCCGGTCCGCCTCGAGCTTCGCGTCGGCGTCGACGCCGACGCGCTGCGTCGCGGGCGCCGACGGCGCGACCTCGGGCGGCGCCTCGACGTTCGCCGTCGCCGTGAGGAACTCCGGCGGCGCCGAGGCGCCCAGGGCGTCCAGCGCGGAGGGGAGCGCGGCGCCCGCCGCCGCCTCCTCCTCCTCGAGCGGCCGCTTCTTCTCGTTGTCCTCGGCGGGGGCGGCGGGCGCCGCGGCGGGGGCGTCGTCGCCCTCGGACTCGTCGGAGCTGTCGGCGAACATGTCACGCGGACGTCGAGAGCGCGCGCGGCTCACCAGGTCCGCCGGCGGGGGCTGAGCTGCACCTTGGCGGCACTACAGCATCACTTTAAGAGACTTCTCGAGTCTCGACGCGGCTCTTCCTTTCAGCATCCTCTCCTACGTCTGCGCCATCGGCGTCTTCGTCGTGGACCAGCTCCCGGCGCCCACGGCCGTCGTCACGGTCGCCCCGACGCTCGCGGGCACCGTCTACCTCTACCGCACTCTTAAGTGATGGGCGATGGGCGAGTTCGGCATACCCGGCTGCAGCGTAGATCGCACCGGGTCCGGCTAAGCGAATGCAAACACCGCGAGCGGCGCGATCGCGTGCGGATGGCGACGATCGAGGTCGATCGGGTACGTCAATTTGAGGGCTCGTGAAAATCGTGAAGTGCTCTCTGTGCCGCGGGCGAGGTGGGCCGAGCTGCGGCTAGCTCCGTGTCGAGGTCGAGCATCGCGATGGGCAAAAAGGATAGAGCAGTGAACGTCAAGGACGTCAAAAAGGCCGAGCGCGAGCGGCGGCAACGACGGGAGTCGCGGCAGCGGAGTCTCATCTCCGAAGAAGTGTCGCTGGCGGATGCTCGACGCGAGCTCCTGAGCGCCGGGCCGTGGATACCGGGGTTAGAGCCGGTCATCAACGTGCTCATCGGCTTCAGCGACGCCATCGAGGACGAGTCCATGGACGAGGAGCAACAGGGGTTTTGCGAGGCCTACTCCGTCGGTTGGGTGAACGAGCAACCGGAATTTTCCGTCGCCGACGGCGGCGGCGAGCAGCTGGAATTTCTGCTGCGCACCTGCCGCCGCGCGAACCACTGGAAGCTCGACGACGACGACGACGACAAGTTCTGTTCCGACGCGGTCTACGGCGTGGTCGACGGGCTGCTCAAAGTCTTTCGGCGCGGCGACGCGCGGCCCCTGCGGGTCGGCGAGGCTCGCGAGCTCACGGCGTTGTACCGCCTCGGCGAGGCGCTGACGAACTGCGAATTCGCGCGCGGGTTCGGCGTCCCTCGACGGACGCGCCGCCGTCCACCGCGCGCCGCAGGTACGAGACCGTCGGCCGCCTGATCCACCTCGGCGGCGCGGCGAGCTTCGACGCCGTCCTCGAGCGCCTCGAGGCGCACCCCGCCGCGACAGGCCGCGGGCACATGTGCGAGACCGTCAAGGACATCCTCTTCGACGAGGAGCGGACGAGCCTCCGGCGGTCGCGGAAGCTCGCGGCGTGGGTCGACGAGGCGACCGTGCGGCGCGCGCTCCGCGCGTTCTGCGCCGTCCTCGACGACCCGCGGTGCGCGCCCGAGACCGGGGGCTGGGTCGCGGGCGCCATCGAAGCCCTCGCCGGGACGGCCGCGTACGCGCGGCTCGCCTGGGGCGCGGCGGGGCCGTCGCTCCGCGCGGCGTTCGTCCGCGGGTCCGTCGACGACTCGCTCCGCGGCGACCTCGACGACATCCTGCTGACCGCGTCGAAGGGCGCCCACGCGGCCGACGGCGGCGGCGGCGGCGACGACGCGGCCTGGGCCTTCTTCTTCGAGGAGTTCCGCAGGGACCCGCGGGGCATCTCCGTGTGCTCCTGCGTGCCGCCGAAGCCGAACATCTGGTGCGCGAAGGAGCGGGGCAAGGAGACGGCGCGCGCGGTCGCGGTGGCCCTCGAGGTCGCAGCGCGGGCGCTGGGCCTCGGCCGGCACGAGCAGGCGGCGTCGGCCGCGCAGGGCGCGCTCCGCGACATATCGCTTCCGGAACGCGGACTTCGACGCGAACGAGCACGAGGCCCGGGCGCGGCTCCTGCTGGGCCGCGCGAAGTTCGCCCGGGGCGAGCTCGACGAGGCCATCGACGCGCTGGAGAAGGCGCGCCCGCGCCGCTACTGGGGCGACGGGCCGCGCGTCGTCGACGACGTCGCCGCGGAGGCCCTCTTCCTCACGGCGGCGGCGCAGCTCAAGCTCGGCGACCGCAAGCGCGGCCTCGCGAACGCCAAGGAGCTCGCGCGGGTCGAGGCGAAGTACGTCTACGACGACGACACGGGCGCCCGGGCCCGCGACGCCTCCGTCGACGTCGCCGGGTGGCGCGCCAAGGCGACGGCGCTGCTCGCGCCGCCGCCGCCCGCCGCGGCGCCCGCGCCGCCCGCCGCGCCGCGGCCGATCCGGTCGTCGCCGGTCGTCGCCGCGGCGGCGGCGCCGGGCCCGGTGGCCCGGCGGCTGCGGCGGTGGCGCTGGACCAAGTTCGGCAAGATCGACGAGCTCCGGGAGGACGACGCGCACCGCCTCCACGTCGAGGTCGTGCCATCCCTCGGGTGCGTCGTCGTGCAGGCCGCGCGGACGCGGCTCTGCGTCTGGGACTTGGCGCGGGGCGCCGTGCGGGGCTGGGTCGACTTTTCGGGCGCGGGCCTCGACAACGACGACGGCGACGGGTCCTTCCGCCACGTCCGCGCCGCCGGCGGCGACGTGCTCGTGCTCTTCGCGCCGCGCGGCCTGCCGCTGTTCGTCGACCTCGGCGCGCTCGAGGACGGCGCGACGTGGACGGACGTTGACAGCGCGCGCTACCTCGCGTCCTTCGGCGAGGTCGGCGACGGCCGCGTCGTCGCCCTCGAGCGCTTCTGCGACGTCGTCGCCCTGGCCGTCTATCCGCCGGAGAAGCCGCGCGTCCTCGCGACGTACGGCCGCGCCGTCGCGGGCCCCGTATCCGTGCACGCCTGGGACCGCGACGACCGCCTCGGCGCCCTCTCCGCGACCCGGGCCGGGAGCCTCGAGAAGCCGTCCCTCCTGTGCGCGCCCGCCGCCAAATCCGCCTGCGAGCTCGCCTTCGCGCGCGAAGACTGCCTCGTGATCGCGCACCACGACAGGCGCGCGCGCGTCTGGACGAGAGGCGACGGTTGTTGGGCCCTCGCCGCGACGCTCCGCGGCTACGAGGCCTCGCCCTGGCACGTCGCCGCCTCCCGCGACCTCGCCGCCCTCGCGTGCTTCCACGACGGACATCGGACCCCGGCGGACGACGACGACGCCGACGACGTCATCGCGCACGACCAAGTCGGCCTCTGGGACCTCGCGAGCGCGCCGTCGCCGGGCGCGCTCGTCTGCCGCCTCGCCGTCCCCGGCCACGGCGTCCGCGCGATCGCCATCGCCGAAGCCCGGGGCGTGCTCGTCACCGAGCACGACGAGGCAGGCGGGATCCACCTCTGGCGGCTCCTCGCGCGCGGGGAGACGCCGCGCGCGGTCCACGTCGCCGCGTACGCCCTGCACAGACCCGCCAGCTGCCCCATCAACACGGCCTTCTTGGCGCGCGACGACCACGTCTACGTCGGCGGCGTCGGCGTCCTCCTCGCGTTCTCGACCGGCGAATCCGCGCCCCCGTCGTCGGACGACGCGCCCGAGGCGACCGTCGTCAACTGCTTCGCCTGCGGCACCTACGACGCCGCCAACTCGCAGGTGTGCCAGCGCTGCAAGGCCGTCCACTTCTGCGGCCCGGCCTGCCTCCGCGCGGGCTGGAAGCGCCACAAGCCGCACTGCGTGCCGGCGGACGCGAAGCCCGGGCGCGGCGCGAAGCGACGGGGCTGTTGAAGCGGCGTTTAACATATCCCGCCGGCGGGATATGTTAAGGTCCCTCATCTGTATAGCATATCCCACCGGCTAGTACGACGCGAGCGGCTCTAGCGAGCGGCGCTCGCCTGCGCGCAGACGGCGCGCGTTATGAGCGCCGGAGTTGGCCTTGGATGAGGTCGATGCATCCGACGCGACGACCGACACGAGCTCGAGGACAGTTACTGTGAGTTCGAGTACTCCCGCGCCGTCGTTCGTCGGCGTCCAGCGGTCGCTCGTAGCGACGCCACCGCCGCAGCGGTCGCTCGCGAACGCACCAGCAATCATGCGCGCCATCGTCGTGCTCGCGGCGTGCGCCAGCGGCTTCCGCAGCCCGCGCGCGCTGACGGCGCGGCCGCGCCGCGCGGCCGTCCCGCAGCCGCGCCGCGTCGCCGCGCGGATGACGTCGATGCCCGAGCTGGCCCTCGCGTGCACGGTGCCGACGTGCCTCGGGTTCTGGAAGCGCGAGTACGGCGTGAGCTACGCCTACGGCCTCAGCATCGCGGCGGCGGCCGCGCTCGTGCTCGGGGAGGGCCCCGCGAGCCCCATCGCCGTGAAGCACTGCTGGGCGCACATCGCCTACGGCACGCGGCTCTGCGCCTTCCTCTTCTGGCGCGAGCTCACCGTGCCGCGGTTCCGCGAGTTCCGCGAGAAGATCGAGATGTCCGCGCCGGCGGGCGGGCGGCGCCGGCGCGCGCCCTTCATCCTCGGCTGCTCGTTCCTCTACTTCGCCATGTCCGTGCCCCTGGTCATGTCCGCGCGCGCGCCGGCGCCGACGGGCGCGACGCGGGCCGCCGCGGCCGCGCTCGCGAACGCCGCGTGGTTCGGCTTCTGGGTCGCCGCGGTCGGCGACGCGTGGAAGTACCTCGCCAAGGCGTCGCGGGGCGCGTCCGTGCTCGTCACGGGCGGCCCCTACGCCGTCCTGCGCCACCCGAACTACCAGGGCGAGCAGCTGCTCTGGGCCGCGAGCGCGGCCCTCGGCGTCGCCGTCGCGCCGACGTCGTTCCTCTCGATCGCGGCCGCGGTCGTCGGCTGCGCGGGCATCCAGTTCGTCCTCATGCAGGCGACGACGGGCCTCAACGCGCGCCAGGACGTCGAGTACGCCAACTGGCCGGCCTTCAACGCCTGGCGCGCCTGGCGGGGCTTCGAGCTCCCCAAGCCGCGCGGCTACGACGACGACCGGGGCTACGGCGGCGGGGGCGGCGGGCCGCCGAACGCGCCCTACGTCCCGCCCACCTTCCCGCCGCCCACCTACGGCGGCGGGACGCCCAACCCTCCGCCGCCCACCTACCGACCGCCTCCGACGGCCGCCCCTCCGCCCGCCTACCGGCCGCCCACCGGCGGCGAGGACCCCCCGGCGGCGCCCGGCTACGGCGGCGGCACCGGTACGCTGTACTGAGGAAAAGCTCCCTCTAGCCGACTAAGCGATGTTCGGCGGCGCGGCCATCGCCATTTCCGCGTTCCGCAGCGAGGGACGCAGCCGGTCGCGAAACCGCATGCGGACGTCGTCGAGGCACGGCAGACTGAAGGTCACCTCAAAGTAAGGCTCTTCGTTTAGATGACCCCGCCGAGAAGAGGTTGTTCAGCGCCGCGCCGACGCCCGTCGCGCACGACAGGTGCGCCGCGTCGACGCACGTTTTCACGACGCGCGCCGACAGGAACGCCGCGAGCGGCGCGCGCAGCGCGTCCTGGCCCTCCATGGGGCCGTAGTTCGCGACCCAGTCGGGCAAGTCGTGTAAACACGCCTCGACCTTGGGTTTCAGTGTGCGCCACGCGAGCTTGTTCTCCGCGACGGCGAGGAGGACGACGCCCTCGCCGGTCGCGCGGTCGTAGGGATGCTCGAAGCCCGCGATGAGGCCGCCGATGTAGGGCAGCGGCGGCTGGTTCAGGCGCAGGCCCCGGCTCGAGATGCCCTCCTGGGACAGCGCGAGCTCCTTCGCCTTGCGCTGCCGCCGCCGCTGGCGCCTGCGCTCCTTGCGTTGCCGCGCTTGCTGCACGACGGCGGCGGCCGCGACGAAGCCCAAAGCTGTGATGATGACGGCGTAGGGCGGCGGAGGCTTCGCAGCCATCGCGCAGCGTCGAAAGGTGTCGTCTTCTTGTGCTTTGCACCTGCGCAGCTCGAAGGTGTTGCGTCTTCTGCCCCCCGCACGACGTCGTCGGTGGCGGCGCGAGAGAGAATTGCGCAAGGTTTGGAACCGTCTCGAGCGGGCAGCGCCATCGAAAGTAATCGGCGTTGGAGTTGAGGCGCACGGTGACCGCACGGTGCGCTCCTCCGTTTCATGAAGACGACGTTGCCGTTTGTCCAGAGCGTCTGGGCCAGCGGAACGTCGCACATCGTCGACAATTGACGCCCGGCGCGGCGCGTCCGCGTTCCCCGCCGCGCTCATGTCGCTCCGCAGCTCACAACACAAGCGCGGCCGAGGCGTCGACGGTCCGACGCTCGGCGCCGAGCTCGGGCAAACGGCCGTTGATATATACGACGACGACGACGACGACGACGCCCCCGCGGCGAAGCGCCCCGCCCCCGCGGCGACGGCGGCGGAGTCCGACTGGGAGTCGCAGAACAACGGCGCGCCGCCGCGGCGGTCGCCCCGCCCCGGCGTCGCCGCCGCGCGCGCGCCGTTCGCGCTGCTCGAGTCGTCGCCGCCCGCGTCGCGGTCGCCCGAGGAGACCGCGGACCCGGCGTGGCGCGCGCTGGAGCGGGTCGGGGGCCGCAACAACTTCGGCGGGGCGAAGCTCGTCGAGCGGTTCGCGGATTTGGACACGTACTTCCCGAAGGCCGCGCGGCTGCTGCGGCTCTGCGACGCGGGCGACGGCGTGGGCTACCGGCGGGCGATGCAGGTCTGGGAGGGCCGCGGCCGCAAGGGCGCGGAGAAGGCCCGCCAGGTCAACGAGCACCTGCGGGCGCGGCAGGCGACGACGTACGCCCTCGTCGGGCCGTCGTCGCCGACGAGCCGCGCCTCGCCGCCGCCCCTGTTCGAGATCGTCGAGCTCCTGCAGCGCGAGCTCAACCTCCAGGGCTGCGCCGCCGACGTCGTCGCCAAGGCCTGCGCGGAGCTCGACGTCGCCGCGGACAAGGGCTCGCTCGTGGACCGCGCCGAGCGCTGCTGGGACGTGCTCTACGGCGGCAACGGCCGCGGCGTCGAGGTCGGCGCCGTCGAGCGCGCGTTGACGGTGCGTTTGCCGAAGCCCGGCGCGCTGGACGAGGAGGAGTTCCAGCTCAAGGCGCGAGGCCTCGAAGCTGCCGCGCGGAAGTCCCTTCGTCAAGACGCGGCGTTCCTCTCCGAGATCGCGGAGACCAGGGCAGCAAAAGAGAGCGAAATTCCCAACTTCAAAGGCTCCGATCTCGGCCGTTTTCCACTCGTTTCGGCTGATTTTTGGACGAGCGATCATCTCTCGGAACGGTCTCGAAGCGTGGATGCTTTTCCCGGAACGCGCGCGCGCGGAACACTCACGTTGAAGCGACGTTGAATCACCCTTTTGCTGCCCAGGCGGAGACGCGCGACCGCCTCGCCCTCGAGGAGGCGCGGGCGAACGTGTCGCGCGCGTCGCCGCACGACTACGTCGGTGACCTGCTCCCGGACCAGCGCCTCAACGAGATCACGCGCGAGTGCTCGAAGTCGCGGGTGAAACTGACGATCGAAATGTTCGTGCCGCCGCGGCATGATGTCACGGTGCGGCGCGACTTCGACGCGGCGTGCGACGCGTGGCTCGCCGCCCGCGCGGCGGGCGACGCGGACGCCAAGGCCAAGGCCAAGGCGGACATCCTGCGGCTCGCGACGGACACGTCGTTGCAGGTCCGCGACGCGGACTGGCTCCGGGACCGGGACCCGTACGGCGAGTCGAGCCTGCGGAAGCGGCTCATGGACGTGGCGCGCCGCGCGGGCGGCCCCAAGTGCGGCTGCGGCAAGTGCAAGGGCATCAACCTCGCGTCCGTCGAGAACCGGGGCCTCCTGGACTTCGACCACGCCGGCAAGGAGAAGAAGCGCGACGCGGCGGGCAGGCTGATCCAGCCGTGCGAGGTCGACAAGTTCGGCTCGCGCGGCGAGCTCGTCGACGAGTGGACCGCGTGCAATGCAATCTGCGCGGTCGGCCACCGGTGCAACACGCAGGACGAGATCAACGCGGCGAAGCTCGCGCGGCGCGCGTTCGCGGAGCTGAGCGACGGCGCCGTGACCACGGAGCAGCGCGCGGACCGCGAGGCCAAGGTCATGTTCAACAACGAGGTCAAGCGCGGCATCGGCGCGTGCGCGTACTGCGGCCTCAGGGTCATCGAGGGGTACGAGTCCGCATTCGACCTCGCGCACAAGATGGGCTACGAGTTCCTGAAGTACCGCGGCGCCGTAGGCGACGGCATGGCCGGCCTCTGCGCCAACGGCGCGCGCTTCAGCGAGGAGTGGCTCGACGCCTACTTCGCCGAGCTCGCCATGTGCATCATGCTCTGCGCGAACTGCCACCGCAAGGAGGACACGAACAAGGCGTACGAGCGGGACGTCGAGGAGCGCTTCGCGCGCCTCGCGTACCTCGCCGTCAAGCTCGAGCGCCTCGACGCCCAGCGCGCGTGAACCCGCCGTCGGTCCACAGGCCCGCCCCCACACCTTTTGCGAAGCCAGTACGGGGGAAAGGGTCATAAGCTTAGTACTGCGTACGCGGCTGTCCCGACGCCGCGCGGTCGCCCGTAGACGTCGTCGTTGCCCCAAGTTTTAGCGAGTGCACTACAGCTGTAATCCGGCATAGGACTCGGCATATTACGAACCACCTTCCTCGACCACCCGCGCCACGACCTCCAGGAGCGCCGGCGTCGGCGACACGAGCATGTCGCTCTTCATGTAGCGCGCCATCGACGCGCCGCCCATGCGGAGCAGCCGGCCGACGGGCTCGCCGGACGCGTCCGCGGCCGCGACGAGGCGGTCGACCTCGATGACGGTCTTCGCGCGGCGGACGCGCCGCAGGTTCGCGCGGACGGCGTCGCCATCGCCGGCCGCGCCGACGGAGAGCCGCGGCGCCGCCTCGCTCTGGTCCGCCGCGGCCGCGAGGCTCGCGTAGTCGCCGAAGCCGCCGACGGCGCCCAGGAGGCACGCCGTCAGCCACGCGCTCTTCGCGCCGCCGGCGCCGCCGAACCAGTTGAGCTTCCCCGCCCAGCTCGGGTTCTCGCGGCCCGCGTTGCCGATCTTGCCGATGCAGCACGGCGACACGGCGAACGGCGCCGCGTTGCGCGCCGCGAGCCCGAGCGCCGCGTCCGTCGCCCCGCCGCACGCGTGCAGGGAGATGACGACGTCGCAGGGGCCGTCGTAGGCGTTGATGTCGCAGGCGAGCGCGTCGACGTTCGCCGCGCCGGCGGCGGACGCGCGCTCGAGCAGCAACGCGACGGCGCGCGGCTTGATGTCGAGCCCGACGAACGTGGTCTTCGGGAAGCGGTGGGCCAGCGGCCGGACGAGGTTGCCCGAGGAGCAGCCGCAGTCGACGACGGTCTTGCCGTCGAGATCCGCGAGGAGCGGCAGCACGGCCGCGAATTCCGCGACCTGCGCGCGTTTCCGCGCGCCGCGGGCCGTGTTGGCGAGTGCCGCGCCGCTGCGCGCGGGGTCGCAGCCCGCGGCCATGGCGTCCCAGGCCATGGACGCGTCGGCCTCCGCGCGCAGCGCCTCGGGCAGCGCCCAGTGGCACCGCTCGAACCACGCGCCGCCGCCGCCGGCGACGTCGAGGCCCGCGGGCGCCGCGACGCGCGCCAGCGTGCCGTCGAGCGCCTCCATGCCGCGGAAGCGCCGCGCGCGCTTCGCCTCGGTCCGCGCGCGCGCCCGCGCGGCGGCGCGCGCGACCTCGTCCGGCGACGGCGGCGGCGGCGCGGCCGCGGCCGGCGCCGCGGGCGCCTCGAGGGCCCCGAAGACGCGGCGCTCGAAGCCGGGCAGCCGCAGGCCGCGCGCGACGCTCGCGGCGCAGGCCGCGGCGGCCGCCGCGTCGACGAACTGCAGCAACGCCGTGCCGTCGTGGCCGGCTGGAGTCGTGCGCACCTCTGGCGGCGTTGCAAGGTTACTGAAGGTGTTTTCCAGTTCTGCCGTCAGCTCGTCGGCACTCAGAGCGTACGGCAGTGAGCGCAAGCGCACGTGCGTCGTCGCGGCAGGCTGCGCCATTGCAGGCTCTGTCGATGAACCCATCGTGAGGTGCCTCGCCGCACGGTCGGCAGCGCGACCGCGATCACCGCGACCCGCGCCGCGCCCGCGCACCGCAGCGCAGCGATGGCCGCAACGAAACAGACGTGGACGCTCGAGGGCGAGAGCGAGCTGCGCCTCGAGGTCGACTTCGACGCCGTCGTCGTCGTCGTGCTCAAGCAGGGCCTCTGCGAGGTGCTCGGCGTCGAGCTCGCGGCCGGGCGCGAGTACGCCTTCGCCGGCGCCAAGGTGGCGCTCTACAGCTGGCACGGCTGCCAGCTCGAGACGCGGGGCGAGTGCGCGTCCGTGTACCAGACGGGCCCCGGCGAGACGACGGCGGCGGCGGCGCTCAACGCGCACAGCTACCTCGAGACGCGGCGCGACGAGGCGTCGCGCGCCGTGTCCGCCGCCGTCGCCGGCGGCGTGCTGCGGTGCTGCGAGGGCGCGTCGCGCGCGGGGGCCGCGCCCGTCGCCGAGGGCGCGAGCGCGCTCGCGCCGGCGCTCGCGGCGTTCGCCGCGGGCGCGGGCGAGGACTCGTGCGGCCGCGACTGCCGGGGCCCGCGGGTCATGGTCGTGGGCCCGAGCGACAGCGGCAAGAGCACGCTCGCCGCGACGCTCCTGGGCTACGCGGCGCGGCTCGGCCGCGAGCCGACGTTCGTCGAGCTCGACCCGGCGCTCGGCGACTGCGGCGCGCCGCCGGGCGCCGTCGCGGCCGCGCGCGTCACGCGGGAGACGCTGAGCGTCGACGAGGGCTTCGGGTCGCTGGACTGCGCGCCGCTGAGCTACTGGTTCGGCTACGAGGCGCCGCGGGAGCACCCGGACCTCTACGCGCGCGTCGTCGACGAGCTCGCGGTCGCGGTCGCGGAGAAGCTCGACGGCGACCGGTCCGCGAACGTCGCGGGCCTGGTCGTGGCGACGTCGTCCTGGGTCGACGGCGACGGCTTCGCGAGCCTGCTGCGCGTCGCGTCGGCCTTCGCCGTCGACGCGGTGCTCGTGCTCGCGCACGACCGCCTCTTCGCGGACCTGCGGCAGGCGCTGCCGCCGTCCGTCGCCGTCGCGAAGCTGCCGCGGTCCGGCGGCGTCGTCCAGCGCGACGTCGTCCACCGGCGCCGGGCGAAGCACCGCAAGATCCACGAGTACTTCTACGGGCCCCAGTCGCACGCGCGGAGCCTCCTCGCGAAGAAGGACGACGACGCGGCGCTCGACAAGCTCCTCGAGGCGACGGCGCCGCCCCTCGCGCCGGCGACGCACGAGCTGCCCTTCCGCGCCGTGCGCGTCTTCAAGGTCCTCGCGGGCTCCACGGGCGACGACTCCATGCTCCCCGTGGGCCAGGGCTCCATGCTCGAGCCGCTCCAGGTCGTCGCCGTGACCGTCTCGCCCGTGCTCGTCCACAACGTCCTCGCGGTCTGCCACCCGGCCAGGGACGGCGACGACGCGGGCGACGACGACGAACACGACGACGCGGCCGCCGACGCGGCGACGTCGCCGCACCAGCACCTCCTCGGCTGCGCGGCGGCGGGCTTCGTCGTCGTGACGAACGTCAACGTCGAGGCCCAGACCATCACGCTCCTCGGGCCCTGCTCCGGCGACCTGCCGTCACGGAACCTGCTCCTGGGCAAGCTCGAGTGGATGGAGTCGAACATCGCGTAAGAAGTGGGGCGAGACCCGGAGGCGGCCCTCACGGCGCGGGAACGTAATACGAAGTGGGGTTATATGGGTGCGCGTGTTTTTGCGGCGCGCGGGGTTTTGCGGCGCGCGGGTCTCGCTTGGTCGAAGCCCGGGCGGTGCGCGGCCTAGGCGAGGAGGGCGAGGCCGGCCGCCGCGAGCGCGGCGGCGACGGCGCGCGCGGAGGCGCCGTCGGACTCGTCCGGGTCGTCGTAGATGATGATGGGGTTGTCCGGGGTCGGCGCGGGCTCCGGCGCCGGCACGGGCACCTCCGGGACGGGCTCCGGCGCCGGCACGGGCACCTCGGGGACGGGCTCCGGCGTGGGCGCGGTCGTCGGCGCGGGCGCGTCGCCGAGGACGTAGACGTCGGCCTCCGTGCCGCCGGTGCCGTCGGGGCAGTTGTTGAGCTTCTTGTCCGTGCCGCACTCGCCGTCGGCCTCGCACGCGTCGCCGTCGCCGAGACCCTCGGCGTCGCAGGTCTCGAGCGCGGCGACGTCCGCGGGGCACTCGGACGCGACCGCGGCGCGGAGCCGCTCCGGGCAGGCGCGCGTCGGCCGGGGCGCGGGCGCGGGCGCGTCGCCGAAGCAGCCCGTGCCCTGCTTCGCGTCGGCCATGCGGAAGACCTCGTCGAACCAGCGGAGGCACTCGTCCGGGTCCGCGTGTTTGCCGTCCGTCGTGTGGTCGTCGAGGTCCTTGTAGCCGTAGTTGTCGTAGACCTCGACGACGCCGACGCCCGCGTCGCCCATGACGTCGTGGATGACGTCGTTCGCGTCCTCGATGGCGTCGATCCACCCCTCGTCGTCCTCGCCGCAGCACGAGATCTCGCGGAAGAGCGGCACGTCGACCTTGCTCAGGATGTTGTCCACGAGCTTCTCCAGGGACGCCTTGTAGTCCTTCTCGCAGTCGTCCTCGCCGAAGTTCCCGCCGCAGTAGCGGTCCGCGTCGTCGTCCTCCTTGAGGTCCCACCAGCCGCTGTTGATCACGGCGATGTCGGCCTTGGCGACGTCGCCGGCGATGTCCGCGACGTTCTCCTGCTTCGTGTCGTCGTCGTCGAACCAGGCCTTCTGGAGGAACCAGAACTCGCTCGTCGCGTCGATGTCGTCGAAGTCCTTCTTGAAGTAGACGCGGTGGCTCTCCTTGACGAAGCTGAAGCGCTTCCAGTCGGTCCACACGCTGTCCTCGTCGTAGTCGCCCTTCTCGCCCATCTTCTCGTAGTTCCCGTCGACCTTGTACGTCTTGCCCGTGTCGACGAACCTGCGGGCCGCGCGAGCGTCCGACGGCTCGACGGCCGCGCGCGCGCTCGGCCCCGGACGCGGGGCTCGCGCTTGTTGAAGACGTAGTAGCAGTCGCGCGAGACGGAGTCCCCCATGAACGCCTGCGCGCGGGGCGTGTGGTTTCGGTTCGTCGGCGACGAAATCGATCTCCGGAAACCGCCCGTTGAATCGTTCAAATCGCGGATACGCACGATGCTCTTGCCCTCCATAACGCACTTCGCCTCGTCCCACGAGACCTTGTCCGCGGCCGAGGCCACGCTCGCTAAGAAAAAAGCGGCGCGCATCCTTGCCGTCCGTTGGCACTTATCCAAATTTGCGCGTCGCCTATTTTTTGCCGCGAGCATTCTTGCTCTTTCCGCGGCACGGCTAGCCTCGGTCGCTCTATAAGCTCCCAATATTGCTTACAGCCTCTTATCGCGGCCGCGGCAGCTCTGGTGTGGGCTCTAAGTATAGACGTCAGGTGCTGACCGGGACCGTGGAAGATCACGCTGTGCTTCCCAACCGGTCGACGGCCTGCAGGAACGACACCACAGACGCGCCGTACATCGCGTGCCAGTCCTGGAAGAAGTCGAAGCCCGTGACGTCGCTGACGGTCTCCTGGAAGGCGGCGCAACGCTCGGACTGCCGCGTCTTCGTGTGGCCGCTGTACACGTCCGAACCCCAGCGCCGCCTACGACTCAAAGTCTACGACCCCTGCGCCTCGACGGGCTACGTCTTCGAGCACAAGGCGTACACTCTGCCACCGGCGAGCTCGTGGTGCGGACGTACTTCACCGCGCCGACGCGCCTCACCGGCTCGCTCGACAAGTACGACGAGAAGAACCAGCTCACGCCGTCGGCCTCAGTGTCGGCTCGGGAGCTCGCCACGCTCGCGTCGACAACCGCGAACTTAGTTCGCGCATAGACCAGCTGCGGACGCAACGGGGCACGCCGTACTGTCGCAAGAAGGGCGCGAAGCCACGCACCCGGGCGACGCGACGACTCCGGCGCGCGCCGCTCGGCGGCTGGCGCCCAGGCCGAGGACCCCCGGCGCGAGTCGACGAGGCAAACCGGCCGAGGCCTCGAAGGTGGAGGCCGCGTCGAGGCGGCCGTGACGACGCCTCGACAACGCGAACAGAACCAGCGGCCTCGACACCGCGAAACGACCAAAAAACACCCATGGCCGCGTCGCCGGCGCCGTCGGCGAGCCCGACGCTGCGCGTCATGCGGCTCTACAAGCCCAAGCTCTACGTGGACAAGCGCGGCGGCGCCCCCGGCGCGACGCGCCTCACGTCGGCTTTGGTGCTGCCCGACTCCTTCGGGAACATCTACAAGGGCGAGACCTTCTTCGCCTACGTGAGCGTGCTCAACGCCGAGGACGCGCCGAGCCCGACGCTGCTCGACGTCGCCGTGTCGGCGAAGCTGCAGGCGCCGTGCGCGAAGCGCGCGGTGGAGCTCAAGGACACGAGCGAGCGGCGGCGCGCCGAGGCGCGGGCCGACGGCGTCGACCCCGACAGCTGGCGGTCGCCCGACATGCCGCCGACGCGGCGGCGGGCGAACCCGGCGGCGGAGCTGCGCTGCGGCGAGAACGTCGACATGATCGTCGAGCACGCGCTGGGCGAGTGCGGCACGCACACGCTGCGCGTGTCCGTGTCCTACCGCCTCGCCGGCGACGGCGGCCCGCCCGACGGCCGCCCCGCGGAGCCGCGGAGCCTCCGCAAGTTCTACCGGTTCAACGTCCTCGACCCGCTCGAGTGCGCGCCGCGCGCGTGGCTCCTGCCGCGCGCGGCGGGCGCGCGCTACGAGGACCGCTACGCCGACGGCGAGGCGAGCAGCAACGAGCCGCCCCTGGGCGTCGTCGAGGTCGCCGTGAAGAACTCGATGCAGGAGCGGTGCGTGCTCGACGCCGTGACGCTCCACTGCGCGCCGGGCTTCGCGTCGCGCGAGATCACGGCGCGCGACGGCCGCATCGTCGAGGTCCGCGGCGGCGCGGCGAACGCGGACAGGGACCGGCCGTCGTTCCTCGACGGCTACGCGGACCTCGCGCGCGGCGCCGACGACCGGGCCGGCCCGCCGCCGCGGCCGCCGTTCGAGGGCTTCGCCGGCAGGATCACGGACATGGACCCCGCGGACGTCAAGGAGCTGCTCGACTTCGACCCCCTGGCGCTCTACGACGCCAAGTGCCACCTCGAGCCCGGCGACGTCGTCACGAAGCTCTTCACGGTGCACCGCGCGGCGCGGCCGGCCGCGTTCCTCACGGGCGAGACGCCGCGCGACGACGACGGCGATTTGGACGAGCCCACGCCGGACAACGCGGGCTTCCTGAAGCTGAGCTGGTCCGCGGCCATGGGCGAGGGCGGCTCCGTGACGACGCCCGCCGTCGACTGGCCGCGCCGCGACGCGCTCGGCGAGGCCCTGAGCCAGGCGCAGCGCGACGTCGAGCGGCGCTTCGCGGCGAACGCGCCGCCGGACCACGAGGGCCTGCGGCCCCCGCTCGCGTCGTCGACGCCGGAGCCCCTGGCGCCCGCGGACGCGCGGCGCCAGGACGGCGCCGTCGTCTTCGTCGAGCTCCGGGGCCTGCCGCGGCCCCGGAGCCTCTACCTCTACGAGGCCGTCGACTGCGTCTGCGCCGTGACGAACCGCGGCGACCGCGACCTCACGCTCCAGCTCCAGTGGCGCCTCGCGGACATGCCCGCGGGCGTCGCCGTCTACGGCAAGTGCTACACGAACCTCGGCGTCGTCGCCGCCGGCGCGACGGCGCGCGCGCCCGTGAAGCTGCTGCCCGTCCAGGGCGGCCTCCACCAGCTCACGGGCTGCTACGTTTTGGACCTCGTCTCCCAGCACGAGTTCCCCATCCCGAACCTCGCGGACGTCGTCGTCTGGCTCGCCGGCGTCGTCGAGTACGACAAGCCCGAGCCCCTCGTCTTCCCCAAGAGCGACAAGCCCGTGTCCCGGCCGCCGCACCCGCCCGCCTTCGACGACGACGACGCGCCGGCCGACGCGCCGGCCGCCGCGCCCGCGGCCGCGGCCGACGCGGCCGCCGCGCCCGCGGCCGCGGCGCCGCCCGCGCCCGCGCCCGCGCTCGCGTTCCCGGAGGGCGTGCCGGCGCTCACGCCCCTCCCGGGCGGCGCGCCGCCGATGCCGCCGCCCATCGACTACCCGGACGCCATGCCCGACGTCTCGCGCGACCCGCTCGTCCTCGACCCGAGCGGCCTCGAGGCGGCGGTCAAGGCGAAGCTCGCGCTCGAGGACGCGGCCCACGCCGACGGCACGATCACGTACCACGCGGAGCTCGACCAGCCGCTGCACCCGCCGGTCCAGCACCCCGACGGCACGATCACCGTGCCGGACCCGGCGCCGGCGCCGGACCGGCAGGCCGCCGCGGACGTCTTCGCCGCGCCGCCGCCGGCCCCGGACCTCCCGCCGCCGCCGGCCCCGGAGTTCTTCGGCGGCCTCGCGCCGCCGGCGGCGCCGGCCGCCTCGGACCCCGCGGCCGCGGACCTCTTCGGCGACCCGCCCGCCGCCGCGGACCTCTTCGGCGACCCGCCCGCGAAGTAGCCGGCGCTAATCGATCTTGGGTCCTTTCCCCCAGAGTGGTGGATCTCGCCTACGCGCCCGGTTTTACGTCTGGCTGGCCGCGCCCCACAGCTTGAGCGTCTTGTCGTGGGACCCGGACACGACGCGGTCGCCCGACGGGAACACCGCGACGCTGCTGACGTCGTTCGAATGCCCTTTCCACGTCGCGAGGCATTCGTCCGTGCTCACGTCCCACAGCATGAGCGTCTTGTCCTCGGACCCAGACACGACGCGGTCGCCCGACGGGAACACCGCGACGCTGTTGACGCCGTTCAAATGCACTTTCCACGTCGCGAGGCAGTTGCCCGTGCTCGCGTCCCACAGCTTGAGCGTCTCGTCGTCGGACCCGGACACGACGCGGTCGCCCGACGGAAACACCGCGACGCTGTTGACGTAGGTCGAATGCCCTTTCCACGTCGCGAGGCAGTTGCCCGTGCTCCGGTCTCGCGCGTCCCACAGCTTGAGCGTGTTGTCCCAAGACCCGGACACGACGCGGTCGCCCGACGGGAACACCGCGACGCTCACGACGTTGTCCGAATGCCCTTTCCACGTCGCGAGGCAGTTGCCCCTGCTCCGGTCCCACGCGTCCCACAGCTTGAGCGTCTTGTCCGTGGACCCGGACACGACGCGGTCGCCGGACGGAAACACCGCGACGCTGCTGACGTCGTTCGAATGCCCTTTCCACGTCGCGAGGCATTCGCCCCTGCTCCGGTCCCACGCGTCCCACAGCTTGAGCGTCTTGTCCGTGGACCCTGACACGACGCGGTCGCCGGACGGAAACACCGCGACGCTGGTGACGCCCTTCGAGTGCCCTTTCCACCCGTTCCTCATGAAGCAGGCGGCCAAGAAGTCCAAGGAGAAGGCCAAGCGCGACGAGGCCAAGCGCGGCGAGGCGGTCCGCATGGATGGCAGCATGGGCAGCGCGGGGAGCGTCGTGTCGTCGCTGACGTCGGGGACGTCGAACTTGTCGCCGCTGGACATCGAGTTCGACGTCGAGCTCGGGGCCGGCGGCGAGGACGACGACGCGGCGAAGCCCACGCTCACGGCCGCGCACCGGCAGGAGATGGACTTCCTCGTCGCCATGATATGCTACGAGGCGAACGTGGCGCCGGCGGCCTTGGCGACCTGCGTCGCCTTCCAGAAGCTGCTGAACCTGACGCTGTGCGGCTGGAACATGGAGAACGAGCCCTGGAAGGTCCCCGACCGCCGGTGGATCCTGTCCACGGGCCTGGAGCTCGTGCTTGCTGGCCTCGAAGCGCGTGCTGCTCTGCAAGTCGTCGAGCTCGTCGGCCGAGCGCAACTACAGCACGTGGGGCCTCGTGTTCACCAAGCTCCGCACCATGGCCTTCGCCATCGAGGACGACTACGCGCAGAGCGTGTCGCAGCTCGTCCGCCAGATCATCGAGGAGGACCTCTACGACGCGTACTGGGCGAACCACGCGGGCGACTACAACGCGGACCCCTTCTGGGACGAGGACGTCTCCTACCGCGACACGCGGTCCATCCAGCCCGAGGGCTTCGTCGGGCCCGTCGCCATCGCGGCCATCGCGCTCGTCATCGCGCTCGTCTACCACCAGCGCTACAAGGCGGAGCACCACGCGCGCACGGCGGCGATCACGCGCCGGGCCGAGGCCGGCCGGCGGTCCGACGCGGTCCGCCGGTCCGTGTCGGACCTCGCGGGCCTCGACCTCGCGCGGAAGCCCGACGGCGCGGCGGCCCGGGATCCCGCGGGCGAGGGCCTCGCGGCGATCTACGAGGCCCGGGCGCCGCCGCGCAAGGCCGCGCCGAAGCGCCGGCCCTCGGCGTCCCTCAAGAAGAAGCGGGTCTCCGTCAAGAAGCAGGCGCCGCGGAGCGACGCGTCCGCGGGCTCCGCGGACTCGGCGGACGCCGCGGCGTTCTACCTCTGCTCCCTGGGGGCGCAGGAGGACGAGTTCGGGTGACGCGCGCGCGGCGGCCCCGGCGCCGCCGACCGCGCGGCGGCCCCGGCGCCGCCGACCGCGCGGCCGACCCCGACGCGGTCGGACGGCGGCCCGTCGCCCCCCTGGGTTTAAAAAAAGGCCACGTTAGTCCCGCTCGAGCGAGAGCGCGAGGTCGACGTCGAGGACGGAGAGGCGGATGTCGCGGAGGACGTAGTCGAGGACGACGGAGTAGAAGGTGAAGACGCGGCGGTAGAACTGCTCCTCGACGATGTCCGGCACGTAGGCGAGGTTGATCGTGTCGTCGGCGAGGATCTCGTCGACGAGCGCGCGGACGTGCGCGTCGCCGAAGAGCCGTCCGGACGACTCGCGCGCGGCGCGGCGCCGGCGGAGCTCGTCGAGGTCGAGGGCGTCGAGGGCGTCGTTGGGCGCGACGTCGACGCGGAGCGAGTGGCCGAAGCAGTCGAGGCGGAACGTCGACGCGGCGTCCGCGAGCAGGTTGACGACGATCGCGGCGACGTTGTCGTGGAGCGCGCGCTCCACGGCCCCCGCGGCGCCGGCCTCGCCGCCGCTCGTCGCCTCGCGCTCGACCTCGAGGACGCGGTCCACGAAGGCCGCGACGCGCGCCGCGTCGACGACCATGCGGTCGTCGCGCGCGAGGCGCCGCCGGAGCGCGCCGAGGAGGTCGAGCGGCGGCCGCGCGGCGGGCGCCGCGTCGACGCGGAGGCCGAGCACGCGCGCGTCGGGCAGGGCGTCGACGCCGTCGTGCATGACGCGGAGCAGGATCTTCACGCAGTGGCCGTAGACGTACCGCTCCGCGGCCTGGAACTGCGCGGGCAGGCCCTCGAAGTCGCCGAGGTGGCCCCCGCCGACGAGCTCGGACGTGTACGCGTCGATGTCCGCGTCGCTCATGTAGCGCAGGGCGCCGCTCAGGCGGGGCTGGCGCGCCGGCGGCGCCGCCGCGGCGGGCGCGGCGGGCGCGGCGCGCGGCGCCCGCTTCTCCTCGACGCGGACGCGGTGCGTGACGCCGAGGAGCCGCGCCGTCGCGTTCATCGACGTCGCCACGGCCTCGTGGAAACTCAACAGCGAGTCCTTCTCCGTCGACAGCGCGCGCCGAAGCCGCGGCCGGAGCCGGCGCGACGCGAACCTCGACAACATCGCGATCTCGACAGGGCCTACCTTCCATGCAAGATGCACTCAACACCAGGTTTTGCGCGGCTAAAGGTGCCGCAAAGAGCTGCCCAAGATTTTGGGAGTGCAATCTGTTTCATTCAGCGCTGCCTCTCTCAGAGAGCTGGCCGCGGTGCGCAACGAGAAAGCGTGCTGCCTTGGGCGCCGCGAGCTGCGCCGCCTCGGAGCCGCGCGCTTCCGCGACGACCCGGCGACGCCCGGCGCGCCGCTCTAAGGCGCCGCCGCCGCCTTAGAGCGCCATGGCGCAGCCCGTGCTGACGGCCGCGGCCCTCGAGGAGATCAGCGCGGCCATCGCGCGGCCCGTGGGCAGCAAGGCGCACTGCGCGTCCGAGTTCCTGAAGAAGGAGGGCCTGCCGCCGGGCCTCGTGGAGGAGATGGACGGCCTCACGGACGAGACGCCGATGCGGTTCTGGATCATCGACAACAGCGACAGCATGCGGAAGAAGGACGGCCAGCACCTCGAGGTCGCCGAGGACGGGTCCATCTCCTCGACGCCCTGCAGCCGCTGGGCCGAGCTCGCGGACACGCTGCGCTGGCACGGCGCGGTCGCCGAGGAGCTCCAGGCGTGGACGCAGTTCCGGCTGCTCAACGCGGCCATGGGCTGCCAGCAGAACATCACGGTGGGCGCGAAGAAGGGCGTGGGGCTCGGGAGCCTGGAGAAGCTCATCGGCAGCGAGCCCGTCGGCGAGACGCCCCTCGTGGCCGCCCTCAAGGGCGTCACGGCGGAGATCGCCAAGGTGTCGGACGCGCTCGTCAAGGCGTCCAAGGTCGCCGTCGTCATCATCGCGAGCGACGGCGAGCCCTCCGACGGCGACGTGCGCGACGCCCTCTTCGAGCTCCAGAAGCTGCCCGTGGCCGTCCGCGTGCGGCTCTGCACGAACTCGGCGGACGTGCTCGGGTTCTGGAACAAGGTCGACAAGACGTCCGCGGGCGGCCTCGACATCCTCGACGACGTCCACAACGAGGCCAAGGAGGTGGCCAAGGGCAACAACTGGCTCACCTACTCCCTCGTGCTGCACCACGTCCGCGAGTTCGGCTGCACGAAGAAGGTGCTCGACCTCCTCGACGAGCGGAGCCTCCAGCCCGCGGAGATCCGCGAGTTCATCGTGCTCCTCTTCGGGTCCCACCTCAACGCGACGCTGCCGGACCCGGGCGCGGACATGATGGGCTTCATCAAGGCCACGACGGACCTCCTCGCCGCGGAGCCGCCCATCTGGAACCTGACGCAGAAGAAAAAAACGGCCTGGATCGACCTCAAGCGCGGCCGCCGCGGCTCCGCGTCCTGCGCCCTCTCCTAGGCGCGCGGGAGGCGCGCGAGGGGGTGGCGAGCGCGGAGGCGCGCGGAGCCTCGCTAAGTACGACGTCCCCGGCGGCCGCCGAGCGGCTCTACCGAGCGGCGCGAGCGCGGGCGCCTCCCGCGGGACGCCGAGTACCGCCGGTGGCCCATCGAGGCGCCGCTGGGCCCACCCCCCTGGCGCGGCCGTCGCTCTCGGCCGTCGCCGGAGCCCCGCCGGTCGAGGACCGCGCGTCGTTCTTCTTTCGGAGCTTACGGGCCCCGCGCGGCGCGGGGGGTCGTCGGGGGCGGGGTTCGGGGGTGGGATCTGTCGAAAATCGACGCCGCGGCGGCGCCGCGCCGCTCAGCGCGAGCCCGCCGGCTCGATGCCCGCGATCTCGACGATGATCGGCGACTCCTCGAACTGGTGGAGCGGCGGCGGCGTGTCCAGCACCCACTCGAGGGTCTCGACGAGCTCGGGCACGACGACGTCGCTGTCGGCGCCGTCGCCGTACTTGACGACGTAGGCGTCCGTCGTCTCGAAGCGCGCGGCGCCCAGGCGCCAGGCCGCGGCGGGCGCGGCCCGCGTCTGCGACGCCGCCACGCGCGGGGCGAGCCTGCGGGCGGGGCGGGACGGTCGAGCGCGCGCGATTCGCGGTGCGCGGGGAGAGTTTCGGGGTTTCGGGGGACGCGGGCGCGCACGTCCGGGCGAATCGGGACAGCATCGTCCAGTCGCTCGAGGAAAGTCAATGTCGGACAAAAGATTTTGTTGACGTCGCGGCCGGCCCGAGGCGAGCTTCGTCCACTCCTCCGCCTGTGGTGCTCGAGCGCGCGCGCGCGAGCGGCGACGCGCGGACCCGAGCCCCACGACAGCGTCGCACAAGCCTGCTGATTCGCGCACAAAACGCGCGCAAATCGAGGACGCCGAAACCCCCCAGCACGTGCGCATAGTTACAGTTTCGCCGAAGCGCCCATGGAGCGCAGCGCTCGGAAGCGCGACCGCGGCGGCTCCGACGACGAGTACGTCGAGGAGGCGAGCGAGAGCGACGAGGACGTCGGCCGGCGGCGGCGCGCGCGGCGCGCCGTCGACTACCGCGAGGACCGCGACGACTCGTTCGAGGACGGCGGCGGCGGCGCCGCGTCGTCGTCGGACGAGGACGAGGTCGTCTGCCGGCCCGTGCGGCGCGCGGCGCGGCCCGTGCGCGGCGGCACGAAGCGCGGCCGCGCGCCGTCGCGCGGCGGCTCCGACGACGACGACGACGACGACGCGTTCGACGTCGCCGAGGCGGACGCCGCGGACGACGACGACGACGACGACGACGACGACGACGACGACGACGACGACGACGAGGCGCTCCCGGAGTGCCGCGCGTGCCGGGGCCGCCACGTGAAGCACACCTGCGGCAAGGGCCGACCCGGCAAGAAGGCGAAGAAGCCGAAGGCGCGGTGCAAGCCCGCGGCGAAGGCGCCCAAGGCCTCGAAGAAGAAGAAGGCGCCGCAGCCCGACGACGAGCCCGCGGCGACGGAGTCCTTCGGCGGCGGGTCGCGGCCCAGCGACGGCGGCGGCGGCGGCGACGGCGACGACGGCGACGCGGCGGCGCGCGCCGTGCAGCTCATGCTCAAGCCGCCGTACGACCCGACGCGCGTGCCGTGGGCGCCGCGCGACGACGCGGGCTTCGCGGCGGCGTCGAGCGTCGAGGCCGTCGAGGGCCGGTCGGCCTGGGTCGACCTGCTGCCGGAGATGATGTGGGTCTGCAACGAGGCCGCGCGCCGCGCGACCGTCGCCGAGGACTCGGGCGCGAAATTCTTCGACAAGCCCCTCGCGGCGGACTACATGTACGACCGCGTCGCCCTCGCCGCCGACGAGCCCTGGGGCCTCGTGGCCCGCGACGACGCCACGGGCCAGATGCAGGGCTTCATCATGCTCGGCACGTTCGCGAGCTGGGACCGGACGCTCCGCTGGGCGTCGCGGGACCCGCGGGCCTGGGGCGTCGCGCAGTACGACCCCAACTGCGGCCGGTCCCACGGCAAGCGGCGCCAGTCCAAGGCCGACGACGACGACGACGACGGCGACGACGAGATCGCGGGCGGCGACGCGAAGTCGCGGTCCGACGAGCGGAAGCTCCGCGCGTACATGGCCGCGGCGACGGGCGCGGCGGCGGCGGGCGCGGCGCACGCGGCGACGGAGAAGCGCGACGCCGACGGCGACCTCACGGACGACCTCGAGGCGACGCCGCGGCGTTTGGCGGAGTCGGACGCGCGCATGACCGAGTGGCCCGACCTCCTCGAGGTGTCGCTCCTCGGCGGCCTGGGCTGCGGCGGCCGCCTCCTGAGCGAGGCCCTCTTCCAGGCGAAGACGCGCGCGCCGCGGGTCGTGCGCTTCGCCGCGACGGCCGGCGAGGACGACGCCGCGTCCGCGGGCTCCGACGACGAGTACCGCGCGCCCGCGTCCTTCGTCGTGCTCCAGGCGACGGAGACGGCCGTGCCCTTCTACGAGCGCAGCGGCTTCGCGCGCGTCGGCGCGCTGGCCAAGTACCGCGACCGCCGCGACATGCCCGAGCTCGCGTACCGCCACTGGAACGACCGCATCTGCGTCGCGGAGAAGCACGGCGCGTCCCACATGATGGCGCTGCGGCTGACGTCCTTCGCGGGGCTCCCCGGCGGCAAGCGGGGCGGCGAGCAGCCCCGGGCGCCGCCGCGGCCGCCCGCGGACGCGGCCGCGCGCGCGCGCGCGCGCGACGACGTCTTGATGATCGCGCGGTCGGCCATCTCCTGCAACACGAACGTCATCGGCGGCTCCGGCGTCTTCCGCGAGCTCGTCGTCATCGCCCAGGGCCGCGCGGGGCCCTGGGGCGCCGACGACGACGGCCTCGCGCGCGCGCTCGCCAAGGTGCTCGTCGTCTTCAAGTCGAACGCGTGCGGCTCCGCGAAGCAGGTCCTCCGCACGGACGTCCTCGGCGACGACCACGCCGAGGACGGCCGCTACCGGCGCCACACGCCCAAGGCGCCCCGCGCGAAGAAGGGCGCCCTCGACTCCGACGACGACGGCGACGACGACCCGGACCACGCGCGCGCCCGCGCGGAACTCTTCGACCCAACTTCACTGTGCGCGTATTGAATGTTTTGATACGAGCACCGCCGCTGTGCTTCGAGCACTCGACGAGAGCGACCGATTCGTCCAAAAATCAGCCGAATCGACTTCGATGTGACCGAGCTCGAGAGTTCCGAAGTTCGGTCGGGACGTCCCGGCTCACCGGTCGATTTCCGCGCAGGCGCCCGCCGCGAGCCGCACGCAGTGCGTCTCCGTCGTGCTCCGCCTCGCCCAGCCGGCCGCGGTCGCGGTCAAGGCCGAGGACGGCGGCGCCGAGGAAACCGCCGCCGACGGCGGCGACGGCGACCTGCCGCCGCCTGACGCGCTCGCGCTCGCCGCCGACGTCGACGACGCGCTCGGCGTCGTCGGCGACGTCGACGACGACGACGTCCTCGGCGCCGTCGACCTCCTCGACGTGCCCATCGACGGGCCCCTGCTCGCCGACGGCGCCGACGGCTTCGAGTTCGCGCCGCCGCCCTTCGACGGCGACGGCGACGGCGGCGGCGGCGACGGCGGCGACGCGTCCGAGGACGACGTGCGGTGCCAGGCGTGCCGCGGGCGCCACGTGCGCCACACGTGCGGCAAGGGCAAGCACGGCCGCCCGAAGAAGGGCGCGGCCAAGGCCAAGGGCGGCGCCGCGGCCGCGCGCGCGGCCGCCGCGGCCGCGGAGCGGCGCCGCGCGGCGGACGCCGCGCGGGAGCGCGCGGACGCGCGGAAGGCGCCCGTCGTCGGGCCGCCGCCCCTCGAGGCCTTCGTGCGGCGGCCCTGCCGCCGCGCGCCGCTGACCACGGCGTCCGTGGCCGTGTCCCTCGTCGGCGCGGGCGCGGAGTTCCGCCTCCTCGCGGCGTTCCCGCGGAAGCTCCGGCGCCGCGCGCGCGCGGACGCGCTGTCGAGCGCGCTCGCGGCCGTGCGCCGCGCCTCGCGCGAGGACGGCGAGCGCGGGGGCGCGAGCCCGCGCCACGCCAAGCCGGGCTCCTGCCTCTCGCCCACGGGCGGCCACAGCCCGGGCTCGAAGAAGCGCGGCCGCCCGCGCCAGGCGGACCGCGGCCACGCGGTCGACGCGTACCAGCCGCCGCCGCTCGACGACGCCATGCACCTCGACCCGGACAGCGACAGCGACAACGAGGAGGACACGGCGGCCGAGCCGGAGAACGGCCTCAAGATCCGCGCGGCGGCCGCGTCTTTCGCTTCTTTCTTCGCCGGCCCACGCGTCGCGTCCTAGGCTTCAAGTGGAACGCGCCCCACGGCTGGGGCAAGGCGGCGCTCAAGCGGCGCGCCTTCAAGAAGGAGGTGCTCACGGACGACAACGACACCAAGGTCCCCAAGGACCGCACGTGGCTCATCACCTGCGCGGACGGCGAGGCCATGCTCGTCGCCCTGAACCCGGAGTTCCGCGGCACGTCCAAGGGCAAGAACTGGTACGCCGTCAAGCCCAAGGCGAAGAAGCCGACGAAGCGCGGCCCGCCGAAGGAGCGGGGCTGGTGATCCCGCGACTAACCTGCTGTGCCACCCCGAGGCTCGACGGCGTCGTCTCGAAAAACTTATCGTCGCGGCGCGTCCGCGGGCACGAGCTCCGTCACGGGCCGCTCCGGGTAGCTGTGCTTCGTCTCGCGGCCGTCGACGGTCTCCGTCTTCGTGACATAATTGTGTAACCAGGACAGGCGCACGCGCTGGCCCTCGGCGATGGCCGCGAGCGCGAGCGCGGAGGAGAAGTTGTCGTCCTCGACGAGGATGCGGAACGCGTCCTGCTTCTCGTCGCCATATTTGCCGGGCTTCTCGAACGAGACGTACGCCTCGATGTCGAAGCGCGCCCACTGCTTCCGCTCCCGCGGCGGGAAGACGCGCAGCAGGTGCTCGTTGCCCAGCTCAACACCTCGGTAGATGGCGATGGTCTCGTGCTTCGAGAGCAGCTCGCGAGTGTACGTCGGGCCGGTCGTTCGCGCGGCGTCCATCGCAGCCATTGCGCTCTCGCGGAGCGCCTTGTTACGAGCTCTCCCACTGCGCAGAGGCTTTCAGAGCAAAAGCTCTCCCATTGCGCAAAGGATTGATCAGGTCGTTGCCGTCAAGTATACCTCACCGAGCAGTCCGGGTCTTCGGCTTACGCGGTCTTCGGCTAGCGCGCGACGCGCGTGGTGGACTCCTCCCGGGCCTTCTTGGGGTAGTACTTGACGCGGCCGAAGAGGTCGGCGATGACCTGGTCGATCTTCGCGTCGTCGAAGCTCGACGGGAGCAGCGGCCGGAGGAAGTCGCGGGAGCAGACCGTGTGGGACTCGATGGCGACGCCCGGCGGGAGGGGGAGGCGCCCCGGCGGCACGCCCGTGACGTCGGCGGCGATGAGCGGCACCTCGCCGGGGAGCGGGTGGGGCACGGTGGGCACGTAGGCGTCGATCTCCGCGACGTCGCGGAACGAGATGGGCATGTGGTCGTCGTCGTCCTCGGCCGTGTTGCCGCAGAAGCAGTAGAGGAAGCCCCGGTAGAGCTCGACGCCTGCGCGCGGGGCGGGGGGGGTACGAGCGGGTCGCGCGCGCGGAGCGGCGGCGTCGGGCGCGCGCGCGGCTTCTCATTGAAGGAATTCATGTGTTCTCAAACACGAGGATTCAGGACACTTTCAACTTTGTGAAATCATCGAAGTCGCACGAGACATGCTTCCGGACGCCGGCGCGCGTGCCGACGAGGTTCCAGACGGCGACGACGAAGGCGATGACGCTCAGCGCCGGGTAGACGCGGTTCACGGTGCGCTGCGCCGCCGTGAGCTCCTCGTCGCCGGCGTTGCAGTCGAAGAAGGTGCCGAAGCACTTGACGTGCTTCTGGTGGTCGCCGAGCCCGTCGCCGGAGCCCGGCCGGCCGGACTCGGCGCCGAACTTGTCGAAGCGGAGGCCCCAGTTCATGAAGAACTCCATCGCGGCGCGCGTGTGCACGAGGACGATGAGCGAGAGCACGCCGACGGAGCGGCGCGAGAGCTGGTCGTCGAAGTCGGGCTTGCGCGCCCAGCGGCGCAGGAGGCAGAAGCGGTCCACGAGGAAGACGTTGAAGAGCGCCGCGGCCGTGACGAGGAGGCCCGCGGGCGCCGCGGAGGCCCAGAAGAGGCCCACGAGGAGCGTCTTCGCGACGTCCGTGTAGCGCTCGGCGATGTTCCACTCCGCGCCGTTCCAGAAGCGGTTCATGGCGCGCTGCGTCGGCTGCCGCGGCGCGACGACGTAGCGCATGACGAGGTCGAAGGGGTCGAAGGCGACGATGAGCGGCGTCACGAACGCGTCCGCGAGGAGGATGAGGAAGACGCTCTCGAGGTTCGCCTTGCCGAGGCGCGCGGGCCGCCGCGTCGTGACGAAGACGACGACGGCCGTGTTGAACCAGCGCGCCATGGTCAGCTTGAGGAACATGGAGTCCTGCTCGTCGCCGAACTCGCGGTGGCGCTCGATGAGCTTCGTGACCTGCTTGAGGGTGGTCGGCAGCGCCGCGTTGACGACGGTGACCCAGACGAAGAGGAAGTTCGTCGCCTCCGCCCGGGCGAACGCGCGCGCGATGGCGTAGAGCACGCCGCCGATGCCGGCCGTCGCCGCGAAGCTCAAGGCCAACCGGAGGAGGCGCTCGGGCCGCGCGTAGTGCGAGTTGTGCCAGAGGATCTCCGTCGGCTCGACGGGCCGCGACACGAGGAGCACCGTGCCCTCGAAGTCGACGGGCGTCTCCGCGGACTCGATGCCCGTGACGTTCGAGAAGACGCGGCGCGCGGCGGACACCTCGAAGGTCTGGAGCGTGCGCTCCATGGACGCCTCCGTCGCGAAGGTCACGACGACCCTCTGCGGCTTGTGCCAGTCGTCGCCCGCCGCGAGTGTCTTCCGGCCGTCGCCCGCGGCGAGCGCGACGCGGAGCTCGTCCTCGACGGCCGCGAGCCGCGCGCGCGCGAAGGCCGGCGTCTTCAGCAGGCCCAGGCCGTAGAGCAGGGGCTGGAACTTCTCGCCGAGCCCGTCGAGCTCGTCGAGCTCGTCCCAGCCGCCCTCGGCGAAGTCCGCGAGGTCCTGGAGGTAGCCCTTGCGCCGCGCGAGGAGCTGGAGCACGCGGCCGTTGTCCTTGCTCACGGTCACGCAGACGACGTCGTCGCCGAAGATCTTCGCGAAGAAGTCGCGGTACCGGTCCGGGTCGAGGACGTGCGCGGGCGGGTTCGCGACGACGACGGAGTAGTCCGACGGCGTCTGCAGGTTGCCCTCGATGCGCTTGGAGAACGTGGACTGGAGGAACGTCGACGTGAGCGCCGCGAAGAGGATGACGAGGACGACGGCGACGTCCGGCGCGACGTTGAGGCCGACGGAGAGGTCCCCGACGACGCAGCCCGACGCCGTGCCCCGCGCGAGGCCCGCGTTTTCGTAGGCGGGCTTGGTCGTCGTGTCGTCGCCGTGGTGGCAGGCGCTCGCGTTGTGCGTCGTCGACGGGCACAGGATCATCGCGCAAACGAAGACGACGCAGAAGATCCACGCGAGCTGGCGGAAGTAGAGGCTCACGCCGAGGCCGAAGGAGTCCAGGCTCAGGAAGACGTCACCGATCGACTCCAGGGCCAGGGGGTAGGGCTCGCACGACTCCGTCTCGCCCTGCTCGGCGCGCCGGAACCCCAGGCGGCTCGTCGGATCGACGACGCGCTGGGGCATCTGTTTCGCGCGGTGCTTCCGGGCCGCCTCGAGGGACAGGCCGTGCTTGCTCATGACTTTCCGCGCGAGGGCGTCCATGGCGCTTACAGTCCTTGCGCGCGAGCGAGCAGTGGAGCAGTTGCTCACTCAAGGTGTGCCCGAGAGCCGGATTGAGGCTCGATTAAATTATTGAGCGACGCGCCGCCGAGGAGGACTCCGAGGTCCTCCCGACCGCCTCCCGGCGCCCCCCCCCTGGTGCATCAATACTGGGAATTTTAAAGCGGAGTACGATAGCGAACGGCATCAGGGTCGTCTGGGACAAACAAAAAGGGGGCGGAGGGCGGCGAGGTCGCGCCGGCGCGTTCCGTGGGGCGGCGGCGGTCCCGACGACGGGCGGTGCGGTCTACTTCAAGACGCCACGCGGCCGACGTCGCCGTTCGAACTGTACTGCGCTGCGCGCGCATCAGCGCTTGGGACCGAAGAGGGGCTCCTGCGCGAAGGCCTCGATCTGGTCGACGTCCATGACGTTGTTCGGCGACGTGCGGTCCATGTCGCTCGCGTCCGTGCCCTCGTCGCCCTCGTCGTCGGAGGCGTGCGCCGCGACGAGGGGCGCGCCGCCGGAGGTCGCGCGCTCGACCTCGCCGTCGACGCCGTCGCCGTCGCCGTCGCACGCGGACCGGTCGTCGGGCCACGCGGCGTCGTCGGCGCCGCCGCCCAGGGGCCCGTCGCCGTCCAGCGCGATGAGCTTGAGGCCGCACTCCGTGATGAGCTGCGCCGCGTCCGGGCGGTCCGTGTAGGGCAGGTGGCAGTCGTGGACGCGGACCATCCAGTCCGACACGAGCCCCACGGCCGCGCCCATCTGCTTGAGCGCGCAGATGACGGAAGCCACGGCAATCATGGACGGCGGGTACTGGAGGAAGGCCACGTCGCCGCGCACGAGGTCCGCGTAGCGCAGCGCGCGCGTCCCGACGCCGCGCGCGTCCGCGCGGCCGCCGAAGAGCACGAGCAGGTTGTGGATCGACGCGTGCACCGTCGGCGGGTTCAGGTGCCACTTGAGCGTGCAGAGCAGCTCGAGCTCCATCAGCCGCAGGTCGCTCGCGCTGAAGAGGCCGTCGCTCAGCGTCACGAAGTCCGACGTCCGGAACGGCCGCGTCTCCTCGATCTTGCTCGCGAGGAAGATGGACGCGATGGACGCGAGCCTGGGGACGGGCGCCGGTCGCGTTTTCGGGCGCCGTCTCGCGCGTGGAGGTTCGGGGGTCGTCGCTCGGGGAGGGGGGAAAACGCGCGGTCGGCCGGGCCGCCGGCGCCGCCGCGGCCGCGGGCGATTTTTTCCGGACGCCGGCGACGCGCTGGAAGTTGACGTTGCCGCAGGACCGGCGGCTGAGGTACCGGTCGAGATAGTTCGTCGCGCTGCTCAGGGTCTCGCGCTTGAGCTTGAAGGAGTCTCCGAGCTGCGGGGGTTCGAACGGACGTCCCCTTCGGGCGGGGGGACGCGGCGCGCGGGGCGAGCGCACCTGGCCGAACCACGCCATGATCTTCGTCCGCCACGCCTCGCTCATGCCGTCGCGCTGCACCGCGTCGATGTAGTCGCTCCGCGGAGCATAGAGCGCCTGGGGGGGGACATTCGAAGATCTTCGGTGTCCGGGATGCCGCGGGGCTGCCCCCAGCGTTTCGAGCGGGGCCCTCGCGCCCCCCGGCGTTGCGGGCGGGCTGGGGTGGGCTGGGCGCAGGGCGGTGGCCAGCGGCCGGGCGGGAGGGCGTGGCGGGGGAGGGGCGATCCGATATTTTGTCGGAAATGCCCGCGCGGGTGGATTTGGGGGTGTCGCACCTCGGACGAAGCGAGAGCGCGCAGCCGTCTGACTGCCGTCTCCGGGTCGATCTCCTCCCCGCAGTGGACCGCGGGGAGGCCGCCATCGTGGGGGGCGACGTCGTCGTCCCCCATAGTCGGAGGAGCTCAGACGCCACTCCTCGCGGAGACGCTGCTCGCTCCAAAGCCAGCCAAAGATTACTGAGGACTTGTTGCAGTTTTTTTGAAAACATTCTGGGAACTCAATCAAGGCGTCAATATCAATTGACGGTTCTGAGCGTCGCCGATGGACGGCTGCGACCAGCGGTCGCGGCCACGCCTGGCTCTCCACCTCGTGACCACCCGCCGCGGGCAGCAGGAAAAGGCGCCGCGAGGCCCCCTCCGCTCGCCGCACGAGCGACTCTCGCGAGGCGCAGCGCGTTCGAGGCCACCCGGCGCCTCACAGACGCCGACTCGGATCATCGGCAGCCCCTTGGCTCGCTGAGGGGCCGTCATCGAAGATCAGCCCGGTCCGACCCCCGGGGGGGCTGGATCATCGGACCGCCGCCGGCTCTCGAGACCCCCGGTCGGAGTAAGTCCTAGTCAGCAACCAATGAGGCGGGCACACGACGGACGGACGGTAGCTGATCGCATGGGGCTGCCATAGCCGAGACGCCAGCCCCGGGACGTTTCCGTCGCCCCGCCATTCGCGGACGCGACGCCGCCTGCGAGCGCCGCCGCGCCTCGCCGCGCCGGCGACGCGGCGCTCCGCGCCGAGGCGTTCGGCGCCGGGCTGCCCGTTGGGCGCCGCCCCCCCGAGGAGCGCGACGAGCCGTCGCTGCCGCGCGGAGCCATGAGCATGGCGGACCCCGAGCACGAGATCCCGGCGCTGAGCGTCGAGCCCGACACGCCCGGGGCCGCGGCGTCGAGCTTCGGCGAGCGCGCGGCCGACGCGGCCGACGGCGCGAACGGCTACTGCGGCGTGCCGCCGCTGCGGTCCCTGCCGGACTCGCTGCGCCTCAAGTTCCACCACAAGCGCGAGATTCGCGTCGTCGCCGTGAACCGGCGCACGGAGCGCATCTCCTTCCGGACGCTGAAGCAGCGCCTCACGACGGACTACGGCTTCGAGCTCTCGCTCGCGTACCAGGACGGCGACGGCGACCTCATCACCCTGGCGTCGCAGAACGACCTCAACGAGCTGCTGAACACGGACTCGTCGGTGGCGAACGTGCGCGTCATCCCGCGGGAGCTCGCGGCGCCCGGCGACGACGAGCCGGCCGCGCGGTCGCTGTCGCCGCCGGCGTCGACGCGCGGCGCGCGCGACGACGCGGCGCCCGCGGCGAACACCAACGCCGCCGCGGCGCGGCCCCAGCGCGGCGAGGCCGCCGACGCGGCGCCGCGGGACCGCGCCGCGGGCGCGCCGCTCCGGGGCGGCGTGCCCTCCGGGCCGCTGAAGATCCACACGTTGATCTCGAGCCCGACGCCGAACAAGAACGCGTCCGCGACGCTGGACCCGCTCCGCGCGCCCCTGTCGCCGCTGCCGCCGTCCCACGAGCTCGCGGCCGACGACCCGTTGCCGGCGCCCGCGCCGCAGATCGCCGCGAGCCCGCCCGCGGCGACGCGGCGCCACCACCACCTCCACGCGCCCATCGAGAAGTCGGAGCGGCCCGCGAAGGACCGCCGCGAGCCCGCGCCGGCGGCGCCGTCGCCGGGCGGCGCGTCGCGCGCGACGTTGGACCCGCTGTCCATCCCCGCGGCGCCCCACGCGGCCGCCGAGGCGCCGACCGCGGACCCGCGCGAGGCGACGCGGCGGCCGTCCGTCGACGGCGACCGCGCGCGCCGCGCGGACGCGGCGGCGGCCAGCGGCGGCGGCGGCTCGGGGTCCGGGAGCCTCTGCTCCGTCGACAGCGCCGCGGAGGTCGCCGTCGCCGCGGCCCAGGTCGTCCTGCCCGCGGACAAGGCGTCCGCGCGCGTCGCGCCGCTGTCCGCCTCCGCGCCGCCGGACAGGGGCGGCGCGGCGCCGCGGGCCATCCGCTGGCAGCGCGGCGAGATGATCGGCAAGGGCGCCTTCGGCAGCGTCTACCTGAGCCTGAATCTGGACACGGGCGAGCTCATGGCCGTCAAGCACCTCGACTGCGCGGAGGTGTCGAGCCGCGAGCGGTCCGCGCTCGAGAACGAGGTGTCGATGATGAAGGGCCTCTGCCACCCGAACATCGTGCGCTACCTCGGCGTCGACAGCTCCAACGACGCGCTGGCCATTTTCCTGGAATACGTGCCCGGCGGGTCGCTGCGGTCGTTGCTGGACAAGTTCGGCAAGCTCGAGGAGGACATCGTGCGGCTCTACAGCCGGCAGATCCTGCTGGGCCTCGAGTACCTCCACGGCAACGCCATCGCCCACCGCGACATCAAGGCGGCGAACGTGCTCGTGTCCAACGACGGCTCCGTGAAGCTCGCGGACTTTGGGGCGTCGAAGCGCATGGCCGCGCCGTCGAATTTGAACGGCGGCGGCGCCGTCGGCGCGCTGCAGACGGGCGGCGCCAAGGGCACGCCCCTCTGGATGGCGCCCGAGGTCATCAAGGCCGCGCCCAAGTCCCAGGGCTGGCGCAAGGCCGACGTCTGGAGCGTCGGGTGCACGGTCATCGAGATGTCGACGGGCCGGCCGCCCTGGAGCCAGTACTCGAACCCCGTCACGGCCATGTACCACATCGCCTGCGTCGAGGAGCTCCCGGACATGCCGCCGAACCTGTCCGACGACGGCATCCAGTTCCTATGGCTCTGCTTCCAGCGCGAGCCGCGGCTCCGGCCCGAGGTCACGGCGCTCCTCCTCCAGGGCTTCGTGTCCGTCGCGCCGACGGCCTGGCGCGAGACGCGCACGAACTACCAGGACCACCGCAGCGCCTACGCGGCGGCCCAGGGCCACCACAGCGCCCAGGACTCGCTCTACCCGTCGCGGCCGTCGACGGCGTCCGAGAGCCACGGTCTGGGCGCGCGCCGGTCCGCGTCGCTGCGCATCATCACCGACGGCAACGTCTTCGACCGAAGGCCCGAGCCCGACGGCGACGCCTTCGGCCACCGGAGGCAACCCAACGGCGACGTCCACGCCGCGCGGCCGCCCGCGCCGCCGCGCGCGCCGCAGTCGCCCCACGCGCCGGGCACCGCGTCGACGGTCGCGCCGTCCCTGGGCTCGTCCCTCGAGTCCGGCGCGTCGTCCCACGTCAACGGCGGCATGCTCCTCGTGCCCCCGGGGGCGCTCCGGTCCACGCCGCGGTCCGCGCGCGGCCGGTCCCGGAGCCGGAGCGACCTCGCGCCGTTCGCGCCGCCGGCCGACGCCGCGCGGCCGGAGCCCGACCGCGCGGCCTCGCCCAAGCCCGCGGCGCAGACGCAGCAGCCCCAGTCGCCGCACCAGCTCCACCGGGACCACGACCCGGGCGCGTCGCGGCCGACGCCGCTCCAGAAGCGGCAGCGGTCCGCGCCGAAGCCCGCGGGCGACGCGGACGCGCGCGACGCGCCGGGCGCCTCCGGCGACGGTGCGCCGCGGAACTCGCGCGGCGGCGGCCCGCCGCGCCGCGGGCCCTACGGCGCCGCGGGCCGCCGCGACGCGACCGGCCGCGCGCCGCCGTCGCCCGCGCCCGCGCTCGGCGGCATCGCCGACGAGGAGCCGCCCGCGCCGGCGTTGGGCCGCCCGCGGGGCAAGCTGCTCGTCGCCGCCCAGCCCAAGGGCCGCGGCGGTCCGGGCATCAAGGGCCCCCAGGCGACCGCGGCGAAGCCCGGGCTGCCCGCGTCGCCGAAGATCGGCGGTCTAGGCCAGTCGCGGACCGCGCGCGGCGGCGCGTCGACGCTCGTCCGCGAGGTCGCGCGGTCGCGCCAGGGCACGGGCCGCGGCGACGGTCGCCACCCCGGCCGCGGCGACGGCCGGCCGCGCCACCCGGACGACGAGCCCGAGCGGCCGCCGGACTCGCCGAAGCGCGTCGGCCGCGCGTCGCCGACGAAGCAGCTCCCCGCCGAGGGCGGCGCGTCGACGCCCGGCTCCGCCGCGCGCCGCGGGCCGTCGCGGACGGCTTCGCGCGCGCCCGGCGCGGCGTCGACGCCGCTGCCGGGCAGCAAGCGCCAGCCCGGCGCCGCGCGGACGTTGTTCAAGGGCGGCGAGCCCAAGAGGCAGCCCGAGGGCGCCGCGGAGACGGCGGCCGCCGTCGTTGCTTCGGCCGTGGCGGCCGCCGTGGGCAAGGAGAGCCCCGCGGCCGCGCGCGCGGGCCCCGCGGGCCGCGGCCGCGGCGGCGGCACGATCAACGTCGTCGGCGGCCGGGGCAAGACGCGCCACGCGACGCCCAAGGGCCGCAAGGCCGACAGCGACGACGACGGCTCCGAGAGCGACGGCAAGCAGTCGTCGCTCCGCGAGGGCGAGCCCGCGAAGCGCAAGTTCTTCCCGAAGCGCGAGCCGCCGCGGCCCGCGAAGCGCGACGAGGCCGACGACGCGCCGTCGCTCGCCAACGCGGCGCTCCGGCGGCCCTTCGAGTTCTCGGCGCCGCCGCCGAACCGCGCGCGCATCCCGCCGCTGGGCCTGGACGCGGCCGGGTCGACGCCGATCCTCGGGCGCCACTCGTTCGGCGCGCGGTCCGCGTCGAGCGCGGGGTCCCTCGACGCCGCGGGCCGCCACATCCGCAAGGGCCTGCACGCGCCCGTGTCGGCGCTGAGCGCGCCGGAGTCGCCGCCGCCGCCGGACGAGTCGCCGCACCGCGCCGCGGACGGCCCGGCGCCGCGGCGCCTCGCGATCTCGCCCGGCGAGCCCTTCCTCGAGGAGGACTGCGAGAGCGACGACGAGGTCGGCACGCCCGTGTCGCCGTCGAGCATCGGCACGCCCCAGTCCCAGCGCGAGGCCGCGACGCCGCGCGAGGACCGCGCGGCCGCGGCCGTCGACGAGCTCGCGTCGACGGGCGGCGACGGCTCCTTCGCCGTGCCGAGCCACGAGGGCACGCCGACGGGCGGCAGCCCGTCGCCGAGCCGGCCGGGCCTCGAGGCCGTCTGGGGCAGCGACGGGTCGCGGCGCCGCGGCGCCGCGCTCGAGGGGTCCGTGGGCAGCGCGCTCGCGTGCGACGAGTCCATCGCCGACGACTTCGAGGCCCACGAGGACCTCGGGCGGCGCGCGTCCGCGTCCCTCCCCATGGCCGTCATCTGCGACGACGCGGCGACCTACGCGGATTTGGACCGCGGCTTCCGCGACGACGACTCGTGCGTCGACGACGTCGCCGACGACGACGAGCCGCCGCCGCCGATCAGCCCCGACGGCACGGTGCCCTACGAGGAGGGGTCGCCGTCGGCGGCGCCGGCGTCGCCCCCGACGTCGCCGCGGCCGCGGCCCCCGGCGGACGCGGAGGGCGCCGTCGTCTGCGCGCACGACGGCGCGGCGACGGCGCTGGCCGCGTCGCGGTCGCGGAAGCTGCTCGCGTCCGCGGCCTACGACGGCGCCGTCCACATCGTCGCCTACGGCGGCGGCGGCGCCGAGGTCGTCGCGACGCTGCGCCACGAGGCGTCCGGCGGCGGCGAGCCGCGCGCGACGTCGCGGGGCCGCGCGACGCGCGCGGCGCGGCCCGCCGGCGCGCGGTCGCCGAAGCAGGGCGACGCGCCGGCGCCGGCGCCGGACCGCGCCGGCGGGAGCAACGGCGTGACCTGCGTCGTCTTCACGCCCGGCGGCGACCGCGTCGTCACGGGCTGCGAGGACCGCGTCGCGCGGATCTGGAGCCTGGAGACGGGCGTCGTCGTCCACGCGCTCGAGGGCCACGAGAGCCGCGTGACCTGCGTCCAGATGCTCGCGGCCGACGCCGCCGGGACGGACCCGGAGTCGCCGGGCGGGCCGCGGCGGGGAAAGCCGGGCACGTCCGCGCAGTGGTCGGGCTGCGTCGTCACGGCGTCCGCGGACCACACGGTGCGCCTCTGGGACGTGCGCATGCGCCGGCCCCAGGCGTTGGCGCTGCGGGGGCACACGGACACGGTGAACGCGCTGGCCGCCGACGCGGACAACATGGTCTGGTCCGCGTCGCGCGACACGAGCGTCCGCGCGTGGGACCTGCGGTGCGGCCGGGGCAAGTTCCACCTCACGCAGCACTTTGGGGGCGTGACGTGCCTGGCCTACGACGCTTCTTTAGACGGCGACCGCGGCGGCCTGCTGAGCGGCGCGCGGGACACGACGGTGCACGTCTGGGCGAAGGCGTCGGGCGCGTGCATGCGCGCGCTCCGGTCGCAGCGGGGCTTCGTGCAGGCGCTGGCCGTCGTGCCGAAGCGGCGCGCGGGGGCGTCGTCCTTGGTCGCCTGCGGCGGGACGAACGGCAAGCTGCGGCTCTGGGACCACCACAAGGGGAAATGTGTGAAGGCCATCGACGCGCACGCGACGTCCGTCACGTGCTGCCAGTTCGCGACGACGCAGCACGGCGCGCCCAACGGGTTCCTCGTGTCCGGCGGCGGCGACGGCTGCGTCAAGGTCTGGGACGCGCGGTCCATGGTCCCGCGGCGGACGCTCGCGAGCCACGGCAACGCGGTCGTCGACGTCGCCGTCGTCGACGGCGACGGCGACGTCGGGCCCCGCGTCTTCTCCACGTCCAAGGACGGCACGCTGCGCGTGGCGCACCTCTAATTTTCCGTGTTACGCCGTGTCTAACCCGTCGCGCTGGAGCATCTTCGCCGAGACGAAGCCCTGGAGCGGCGATATAACGCGGAGCCGGAGCTTGCCGTCGCTCGTGCGCTCGCCCTCGAGGTCCGCCTCGTGGACCTCGGCGCCGGACCCGAACTTGAGCTCGCCGACGCAGGGCGAGTCCATCTCGACGCCCGCGCGGACGACCGCGCCGCGCTTGCCGACGACCGTGTGGCGGACGCCGGTCGCGGCCGGGCCCGCATCCACTCCCAAAATCCGCGCCTCCCACTGGGCGAAGCCGCCGTCGAGGCGCCGCGCCGCCTGGCCCGGGAGCAATAAACGCGCGTTCTCGATGAGCTTCAGCGCGTACTGGCAGTCGGACTTTTTTCGCGTGATGCGGCTGCCCGTCGTCGAGAAGACGACGACGGAATGCCGCCGCCGCGTCGCGAGCTCCGCGACGACGCGCAGCGCCTCCTTGACGTCCTTGCCGCAGTCGCTCAGCCGCCGCAGCTCGCCCGTCGCCGCGTCCAGGATGCGGTCCACGGGCAGGTCGACGACGGACGCGTCGACGTCGCCGTCGACCATGACGCGGCCCGGGAACTCGCCGTTGGCCTGGACCTCGCCCTTGGACCGGCAGTCCACGAGGACCACGGCATAGCCCTTCTCCAGCGCCTCGTGGAGCATGTGCGGGCTCACGAGCTCGCCCCGCGGGAAGGGGCCGTGGAGCTCGACGTACTCGCGCGTGCCCGGGATCGACGACGGGTCCGGCCCGGCGACGCGCGGGTCCTCGTAGAGGCCGCCGGCGCCCTCGCCGACGCTCCGCGGGTTCGCGCGCCGCCGTAGAGGGATGCCCGCGCCGCCCGCCGCCGCGTGGAACATCTGCGCGACCGTGGCCTCGTCGAGCTCGAACGTGACGCTGCCGCCCTCCTCGCCCATCTCCTCCATCATCTGCTGCATCATGGGCACGACGCTCTGCATCATGGCGCCGAAGAGCTCGGCGAACAGGTCGTTGGCGTTGGCCTTGTGCGTCGGCGCCGGCTTGGCCTCCTTGGCGGCGATGAGCAGGTTGTAGGCGTCGGCGACGCGCTGGAACATCTCGTCGCTGCCGCCCTTGTCGGGATGGCTTTTTAAAGCCTTCTTCTTGTAGGCCTTCTTGATCTCCTCCTTGGACGCCTTGGGGTCCACGCCCAGGAGCTGGCCCGCAGCGCGTACCTCGAGCGCGTCGGCCATAGTCGACTTTGTGGTGGCCGGGGCTGCTTGCTACTTTAGC